GAAATAGCCTTCTGGAGTACTTGGGGAAATGAAAGGAATATTTGAAGAACTGGTAAATGTTTGATTTGGGCTTTTTGTTAGATCAAGGTTGCACGTTAAATGATATTTGTGTTTTTCAGTTACAGGTTCCTCTTTTGCTTACAGTTTTTTCAATTGCTGTTTCTTCTGTCATATAAATGAATACCACAAAAATGAATAGCCTTTGAAACATTCAGTATTACTTTATAAATAATAATGATTTTGTCTTTTGCAGGTTACAGCATGTGCTTATGAGAAAGAGTATTACATTGTATTATAATACACAATGTATTACATTACATTCCTCATTGGGATTAGCCAACTAGATCAGTATTCTTGAGATAAATATAATTTTTAAGCAGAAGATTTGTATTTTCTTGAAAGTGTTACATATGAATGCTCTTTATCCACCTTCTCCTTTTTACTGGTTTTCAGTAATTACGTTTGTGAACCCACATGGATGACATCTTTCATTTCCTACCAACTACACGTTGACTTCTGAGTCCCTATAATATTCTCTAGTTTTCCTATGCTTCTTTCCTGTGTTATTTATGGTTCTGGTACATGTGGGGATTTTGTTTAAGGAGATGGTCTTTTATGTAAATACTTTTGTGACCTCTACAGCATTTTTATAGTGTTTTTTTCTAAGTAAGAGTTCAGATGTTGTTCCAGTTTGAATGATATCCCGGTTCCTTTCACTTTTCACTTTTGTAAAGTTAGATGCTGAGATGGTCAATTTGCAACAAGCATTAAATATAGCCTTGACTTTTTTCTGTAGGAAAACACCTCTGTGGAACACTTGCAGAACACCTGTAGGCCTGATGAACTCAAGAACTCCTGAAGAAATCTAGTGTATCTGCAGTGTTCAGAGCTGGCAAGATAGTGTTCTCTTCTGCTCTAAACCTTCTTTGGTTGGTAATGAAGTACAGTCAGTTGAAGCACAGAATGAATGTTGTGCTTATCTCAGCTTTTTTCAATAGCAGCTCTGCCACTGCCTTTTCCCTACCATTCCTTACATTAAACTAACTGCTAATTTTATCAAGATTTTTTTTTGGCATAAAAGAACTTGTCAAAAATTGTCACTAGGTATTCTGTGACTCCACTCAAATATTCAGATGATAAGTTCTTGCACATTCAGAGATATTCATTAATATGTCCCACAGGAGAAAAGACTGAATTGCTGTTTAATATACTTATTCAGAAATATGAAAGAAAATTGTACATTCTGTGGGGCTTTTTTCCTCTGTGATACTATAAGATTTAGTATAAATTTTAAAAATAATAGATGGAAGGTTAATCTAGTGGTTAAAACCTGTTCTACATCTCATAGGGAAGAAGCAAATCATAATGACTGGGTAAAGGGATGTTCAAAGAGTCTTAGTAGTAGTGAAAGATTTAGAAGCAAGAAAATTTTTTACATCAAGCAAGTTTATTTAGTTAACTTGTACAGTCAGAAGCATCCAAAATAACCTTTATTTGAAAAGAAACCTTTGAAATGGTCTTGGCTAAAAAATTTGGAGTAAACACTTCTTTCACCTTAAATAATTTATTCTGTAGATTTCTAACACGGCAATGGAATGAGTCTTTGTGCACTGAAAAATGAGTAATTTAAAATGTGGTAAGAACTTTTTCAGTTTCCCATAATTAAGTGGCTATGGCATGACAATCTTCACTAAAGTAGTTTCTTATCAACTGGCTAGAGCAGGAAACCACTTTAAACCGTGTTGTTTTTTTAATCTGTGATTATTTATAGGTTTGTATGCTTTTTACCACGTGTTCAGCAGCGAAAGACTGCTTTCTAGCTTTGTGGATGACAAATCCTAACCAAATCATTTACTAGTACTTCCTGATTTGTTAGGGGTTGTCTTTTGAGTCATCAAATCTAGTGACCCAAAGGAGCTGAACAGCTGCAGTGCACCCTCCTAAGTTACTGATAGTGATTGCACTGTCTTCTCTCTGCAGATCTTGCACTTCTGGTTTCCTCTTTCTTTTTGATTTTTTTTGTGTTGTTGTTTTTTTTTTTGTCTTGTTTTGTTTTTGTTTCCTTGCTACTAATTTGACACTTTAAACAATGCCTTAAATAATTAGTCTGTGCATTGTCTTGTGAGGAAAGAAGGCAGCTGGATACTTTTTTAGGTGGGATTCTTACCTTCAGGCTCTAGTATGTCCCATTATTGTATCACCAGTTCTTTAATATGAATAGCTATTAAAGAATAACAGGACATTATCTTAGCAAATTTATCTCTAAATGATTCTAGAGTCTATTATATTTCTAACTTCTGCGTGAGAAGATTTTTTAGCTACGAACATGTAAGTAATTTTGCTGTCTTCTTTTTCAAGGGGCATATTAGAAAATAAATTTTTTCCTCAGATTGTGAAAACCTGGTGATTAAATTGTCAAGATCATGTAGAATTTTTAAAAATCCAGCAGCCCCACTCAGTCAAACCATGAGTTCTCCTATTGGCACTGGCAAAATTATTCATATTTGAAAAGAAGGGGAATATCTTTATTTTTAATCAGTTTTCTAGACATGATAACTTGCTAGAAAGGTGAAACCCATCCCTTCCTCAGTAGTGGAGGATACAACAATGCAAGACAAAAATGGACAACTTCATATAGGGGCATATGGTTCCCAAAATATTTTACTCAGTTCTCATATTCAATGAGTTTGGAACTTTGCATCAGTGCTACTTTACTCACTCTCTAACTCTTTCCTTCTCTATGAAGTACATCTAGTTTCTCTTTTTTGGCCCCTCCTCGGAGTTCAGGAATAAATAGAAGCCCAAAGCAATCTTTAGGATTCTTTCTTGTTAATCTAAAGACATTCAGATCTAAAAGGAGAAAATATGGATTGGTAATGAAATAAACTGCAGAATTATCAGAAATAACCAATGTACAGTTTGAGTTCACTGTCCCTGTCTCCACTTGAGACTCTCTTACTTTGAGTTTGGATGCTTGTGCAGTTTAAGGAAGTTTCATAGAGCTGTATTTGACATTATTGGCTATGGGGCAATAACTATATGGAAGGCCAGTGGTGATGCTCCATGATGAATACTGCTTTGTTTTGTCTATGCAACGTAAGTGTGCTCTGGCTTGATCTGTTTAAACTTTGATGAGAAATGTTTGCTGATTACAGCTCTTTATGCTTTAAGATCTCAAACAGTATGACAGAAATGGTTTGTAGCTTCCCCTGTTATTCTTTCTGGGAAATATGGATAAACCACAGCAAGTAAGAAAATATTCTCAACTGTATGTAAATTGTCTGTAAACATACCATTAAAATATTTTGCTTTATTTAAGCATAGAAACAATTTCATGCTTGAAATTAATTCTTCATTAATAGATGTCTGAGATGCTGTTATTTTACTGCAGTATTCTTTTGTGCATTTTTACTGGTGCCCTAGTTTTATGAAGCTCAGGAGTAGTCACATGAATATATTCTTGGATTTTCATCCAATATTGTTGCTAAGGAAACATCATCTTTAATACTGTATCCTTGTCTGCAGCTTGTCTGTATTAATCAATGCCTGCTAATGCTCAGTACAAACTTAAGTAAAGATGAGAAAAAAAAGAATCTTAATTTCATTTATTATCAAGTAGTTTATTATTGACTATTCTCCTTCAGTATCCCCTGTCACTACAAACCTTGCACAAATTGGAGGGTCTTGTCCCTGTGTCTAGTCTCATTCTACATAGACACAACATGGACAGGTTTTATTTTTTTTTCATTGGCTGCCATTAGTATTTAATATAATAATCATTGGTCTTGTACAGTGCATGGATCTGGTGAAAATGTTGGGAAATGCTTACATATTGCTCTAAAAGGGAGAAAGAACCTTTTCTGTATGTGTGAAAATGAGGAGCTTGAAATGAGAAACATATCCCTTTTCAGTATGCTGTTAAAATTCTACTACTAAAATTCAGCCCAATTTGAGTATCTGGCTAGGAAAAGACCTGTCATTCATACATATTGGTGGAAATCACAGTTCACTGCAAGTCCAGCTATTTAGTTTGTTGCAATAATGACAGGCAAGTTTTTTTGAATTTTCTATTTCTGCACTCTTCTGAGAAGTACCAAGTCCTAGAGCCAATTTAAAAATCAATTTGCCTTAGCAATTTGCTAGCTTAAAACTTGCTTTTTGTCGTGATCCCTTTTGCCTTTTGGACATGTTCTTACATATCTAGTTCTACAGAGACACTACATTAGATCTAATATCTATTGTGGAAAAGCCCAGGTCAGAAAGGCCAGAGGCAAACAAGAAGGCCTGAAGAACTTGTCTCATTAGGAATATCTGTTTCCTTTTTTGGACAAGCAGCAGTATCTCATTCATCAGCTTAGTCATCCTTCAAGGACGAGCAAAGGAATCAAGCACCAGTTTACAGTCTAGCTGTGTGGGCTAGATGCAAGCACACTTTCAGCAGTCTAACCTGGCTAGGTCATACCAGCTCTCATTAGCAGGGTAGCAAAGGGAACACGAGTTCTCTCCTTCTGAGTGCAGGAAAGGGAACATGTGTCCTTTTCTTCTGAGTACAGAGCTTCTTATGCCACTAAGAAACCTCTTCCTTCTCCCTAAAGAAAAAAGAAACCGCAAGAAAATATTTGTGAGGAGCTGTACCTAAGCCCACAGGTCCCACACAGGCAGATTTGAAAGCTGCCTTTAGAGCTGAGCCTTACCCATACTTTTCTGCCTGATCTCAGGTACAGAATGGATGAATGGCAAGCAGCTATTGCAGATGCCATCCCAACAGTTGTGTGATTTTAACACCTCAGTAGAGGTGTGTTGAAGATCATACCCAGAGTATCCAGGGAGAGGTCGAACTCATTGTTTGCTCCTGTTAACTGCATCAGACTCATGAATTCGTGTAGTCTGTGTATGGAAAGAGTCCATTGCTACTTATTTCTGGGCACCCATTCCAGTTAAACTCTTTCCTTCAGCACTAGAAAGGTATTTAAGATATTTTGCTCAGGGCTGTTGTAACAATGAACATTCTCAAGTATGTGAATTTTATCGATGCTTCTGCTCTAGAGGTTAGATCAAGGTACTGTATTTTTGTATTGATTGCTATGCTTATAGGGATTGCTTGATTGCTCATAGTCCAATGAAAGAACTGAAAAGAGTCACATTGCATAAAATTGGAATCTAATCCTTGATTTTTCATGGGGACCCAAAATTTCAGATCCATAATTCTTCATGGTGCCCCATGGGAATAATAATAGCCAGCACTTTATTATTAAGGAAAAACATTGTCTTACCATTCATGTCTCATATCAAAATCCTGTAAATATGTGTAGTAGTTACTTTGTTTAGCATTGGCAAAAGAAATAATAGCCCCTTGACTTTTTCCATACTTGTCTTTTTCTTCTGCTCTGATACCTGTGAGATGCAATACTTACAGGTAGTACTTTAAGCTGTCCTTTGCTCCTTGGTCTCTAAGAAAAGGTGAGAAAAGGTATTTCCAGGTAGGTGTATTTTCAGCTGCTGCTAACAGCTTTGCTAAATTGTTTCCCTTAAACTCACCATACTTGCATTTTTAAGAAAACCTTGTTGTCTTAAAGTATTTATTGTACATTTATTTTTTTCTTCTTTCAATGACTGTCTAGAAAAGTTATTAGTAGTTTAATATAGAGACTGCAGTGATAGGGGAAGGATGTTGGTAATTCTACAGTGTTGTCTGTTGTGATGAAAATACAGGCTTTGTATCTTAATTTGTGCTGTATTATTATCCTGTCAAGGCAGAATTTGAGCTCAATTGTTTAAGCCAGTATTTTGTATTGTGATGTAGAAAGAACTAATATTGTGATGCTGCTATTAGTTGTTATTTGCCATTTATTAATTAGAAATAGAGGAAACCTTCTCAATATTTACCTAATATTCTTTGAATGAAATTAGTTGGCATGCTTGGGCTAAGGACAATGTTCTCCTTTCCCTTGGTAGTGCTTTACTGTTGTCTGTCCCATCTCTGATACACTGTGTTTCTCTAAAGACTCTAGGCTTTGGTTAAAAACATACAGAGATAATTTTTGTTTGCTATAAATTGTCTTTTAAGGTGTGGTGTGGGAATGCTTTTGCATGTATGTGTGTCCACAGTGGTGTCTGGGTGTTTTGTTGTACATGTGGTGTGGCTTTTGCTTGTCTAAAAATGCACTATGAACTTGTAGCACATATCAGGACAGGATTGAAGAGGTGATGAATTAGACATAAGACTGTTGTGTTTTTTCTATTTTCTTCTTAGTTTCTGTCTCTTTTTTCTTGCTTGTTCTTTTTGCTTCCTTTTTCAAATTTCTTCATCGTCCATTTGGTCTAAGCACTCCCTTTTTGTGGTGCCATTCTAAAAAACCAGATTATTTTGGATGCAGCATTTTCTCTCCCTCCAGATGTTTTTCCTTTTTCCTGTGAGTACACCATCTGCCTTTGTGTGCTCTGGGAGATGTGCAGGTGTTAGTCAGTATTAGGTGGCAGAACTGAATTGAAATGTGGTAAGTTTTGCTGCCAGCTCCTTTCTGTAATGTTTTTTAATTGTGAAGTTGCTCTGTCAAAAAAAAAAAAAAAGAAGGGAAGAACAGGGAAACAACTCTGGAAGTGTTGTGAAGAAAAGTGGGAAAATACTGGTTACTTTATCCTGGTGCTGAGGATAACAGGGAGTAGCCAAGAGCAGAAATTCCCATAGAAAAATGTAAAGATTCAGGGCTTTTTACCTTTTCAACTTTGAAATTAGAAGTTCTGCTCAGTTTTGCATGTGGAATTTGTCAAGCAGTATCAACCAACTAAACTGCTATTTTAAAACAGAAAAAATATAAAGGTGTATTGTGTACAGTAATGTAACTTCATGAAATATTAAGCATCTTCTAATGTGGTTTTCTCTTGCTCTTTCTGTATATAGAAAACATATACATCTTTTGAATTAGATTTTTTTCCTGGTAATTTCCTGGTTAGCTTTAACCTTGCTGTTTTTCTTTATATTTGTAGACTTTCTTTGTCTCTGCCCTTTGAACTTTATTTATCAAAACCTGTGTTCAAGTTAAAGATCATCTTACCTTTGCAAAGTTCTCGACCTTTCTCCTTTCCAAATAATTTTAAGAAGACAAATATGCTTTCTGTGTGTTTTTAGTGGTTCTGTCCACCAGTCTCTCACGATCATTCATTACCCTGGGTTTCATCAGGCTAGGAAATTTTTTATCTACATTAAACAGTCAGCTTTGGAAATTATGTCTTCCTGACTTCTATCTGGTATTTCTACATCATTCTGGACTGCTGTACCTACTATGTGTGGACTGACTGTGATCAAGTAGTTTGTGTGGGTTTCTGTTAGAATCTATTCTTATTTTTCTGTATTATGAAATCTGAATCCTCAGACCTCGTGTTCTCCCTTACAGCTTGCTGGCATAAACAAAACGAAGAAATATCTTGCTGACTAGAATGTTTCCTAGCTTGGTCCCAGATCTGGCAAAACAGCTCTGATGATCCTCAAGTGCACTCTGAAAGACTGAAATACAAACTATAAGAAAATTCTCTACAATATTAGAAATGTGGGGAGTTAATAATTATTCAAAACCAGCTATTCCCAATTGTTCTGTATTAAAATTAAGACATTTAAGATAATCACTCTTCAGTTTAGTCATCTGAAGTGTAGTCATTGCCTCTAGTTTAAGCTAGGCATGCTTTAGGTTGCTGTACAGTCAGCAGAGAGACAGCTCCAGGAAGCTGTCCTCTCATAAAAAGGACAAATAATCAAATATTGTGTGGAATAAAGAGCTTCTGGAGATGCACATCTCTCTCCATCGATGATTGATGTGTAGATAGTAAAACACTAACTTCTGTTTTCCATCGTTTGCGGTTTTAGTTTTAAGAAATAGAAAGAAAGGAAAAAAGGTATTTCAGTGCATGAAAATCTGACCAAAATTACCAAAAATGCTTTTGGAACAGAGGATTATTGACTATTATGCAATTAATTTAAATGTAGAAAGCTTTTGAGGGCTAAATTCAAGAAGGATATTGGCATGTACTATATTTAGAATTTCACAGCTACTGTGGAATCTGTGATACAAAATGATTTTTTATTATCATCCAGTATCCACGGGATAATATTGTAAAATAATTTTAAAGGAAAAAAATTAATGCAAAAAACTAGGCAAATACAAAAGTTTCATAAAGAAATATTTTATGTCTCTTTTTTTTGGCAGTCTTGCTTTGCACCCCGAACGTGTGTTGGTGGCAACAGGTCAAGTTGGAAAGGAACCATATATCTGCGTGTGGGATTCATACACTGTGCAAACTGTATCTGTTCTGAAAGACGTTCATACACATGGTATAGCTTGCTTGGCCTTTGATCTAGATGGTCAGGTATGTAATTAATATTCTTTTTTCAAACACTTGACTAAATAGTTTATCTGTTAGAAATCTTGTCACATAGTTTTTCTTTTAAAAAAAAAGAAAGTGTATTGTCTTAGGTTTTATCTGCCTATTCTCAAGATGAGGAAGAAAAAAATTACATTACATGAATGCCAAATATTTAAATTTGGCAGGAAAACTATAGCTTCAAAAGCTTTTTGAATGGAGATGAGGTGGAAGGGAGGTTCTTGTGGTCTGTGGGCCACAGCTCAGGGTAAGACCAAATGGCCAGAGACAGTGGAACTCCCCTGTGCATGTCTTGTGCCCAGAGTGATGGCAGCCCCCTTGTGTTACTCATCTTGCACTCCTTCAGGCAGTATCCCCTTGTCTGTCATTCATTTTGCATTCACTGGTGGCTCTCCACATTTTGATTGTTTGTTCAGACTCATGTATCACACATCTAAGAGTCAAGAAATAGGTTTCATTGTATTATCATTCTATTCCTTTTGAACATTCTCTGAGTAGTAAATTGGTTCTCAGAGCTGCCACCTATAATTTTTGTTTTTACCAGATTGTTTTTACCAGACACTTGCTCCTCTGAGTAAAGAGGCTTTCTTGACTGTTGTATTAGAAATGGAAAATTTAGTGGTTACATTTGCATGTTAGGTAGCAGCTGAAAAGGTATTAACTGAGAAAATCCTTTCTGGAGATGTGCTTTCCTGGTCTGTGAAGCACTTCTTTCCCTTTTGCTCAGCCTTGCAATGCGATACTCACATTTAGCTATATTCTCTATTTAGTTCCTTTAGCTTGCTAAGAATGTCAATGTCTGTTAGTTACTGCTGCTTCCTAAGGTGAGGATGTATTGTAGAGACTAGTTGCTGTCCTTAAAATAATATCAAATGTAGCTGTGTTGAACACAAGAGGAAAGCCTTCCTGTAACTTGTTTCTTTTTAAAACATGTTGTAATTGTAGGAATGTTCTGACTTTGTTGAAATAACCTCTCATTGTTTAGGAAGTCAGCTACTGGAGTCAGGTTCTTTCTAGAACATAATTTCTAATCCACAGCGATATCTTTTCTCTATATTGTTCTTGTGTAAACTTGTGTCACTCCCTCACTTGAATGACCTTCATCATTTAAGGTCAAGATACATCAAATTAGGATTGGAATACCCTAACTTTTCAAAGATGGAATAGAAAGGTTAGATTTTTGTAGTTTTAATAAATAGGAAGTATGGATAGAAATTGTATTAGACTTGTTTACTTTTCTTCTCATAATCTGGGAGTTTTTCATACAGTAAAGGAATTATGTTATTTGGAATAGGTTTCTGTCTTTGGGGAAAAAAAGATTATGATTCAAGTTTGGAGTTTGTTTTCACTTTTACAGCCTCACTGAATAATCTATGTAGAAATTGAAGCTAAATTTGTCTTTAATATGTGTAAGTATTAACTGCTGAACAGTGAAAAAAAGCTTTGGCCAAAAGTTTTGAAAAACTTTCATTTATAAATATCAAAATTGCACAATTCATGAAAAAACAGAACAAAAATACTCATTTTCTTTAAATATTAAACAAAATCATTCAGCTTTTTTTTTTTTTTTAATGCAATTCTGTTAGTCTTTCTGTTGAGAATTTCTATAGGAAAAATAGCATTTTGACTGGTTTACAGATACAGTACAAGCAGCTAATTTAGTCAATCATTTGTGTCAAGAAATGTGTTCCAAGTCTCTTCACAGTCAAGACAAGACAGGCTGCAAAGCACAGGAAGATCTCAAAATTTTATTTTTCTTGATTTTTTTAGAATAATCTTTTTGTCCATCCTGGTTTTACAGTGTAAATAGCTTCAAACTCTTTCTGAATAATAAAGACTTCATGAAGTTATGTTTGGGGCCTTTTTAATTTTTTTTGAGAAAGCATTCAGAAAGAAATATTTACTCATATGTGTCTTGACGAATCAAGGAAAAGACTTTAAAAACATTTAATTGTTTTTAATCTTTTGTTTGTTTCCATATCTCTTGAACTTGTAAAAGAAATTCTAAATTCTGCAAGTTACATGTAATTAAAGATAAACACATACACTTTCATTAGCTTCAGTGGTTATTCCTTCTTTGCAAATGTCTCTTGACTGCAGCTCACCATGTGTTCTAGGTATAATTATATATATTAAATATTATAAATCAGAAAGATGTTGTCATCTAAGAAGATCTTTATGGTCATGATGTTGTACCTGAAAAGATGCATCTGTGTAAGCTTTGGTGTAAGATATAGCTTATGTTTTCTTCTATATTGCTTCTACCTCAAATATGTTACATGTTTTTTGCAACTCATTCAAAACTATGACTTTAGCTTTCATTAATATATAGAGTTATTTTTATTTGTTTAATTTGGACACTTTTAGCGTTTGGTCTCGGTTGGTTTGGATTCGAAAAACACAGTTTGTGTATGGGACTGGAGAAAAGGAAAATTGTTATCAATGGCTCCTGGTCATACAGACAGAGTAAGTATAACTAAATAGTCTGAGCATCAATGTCATTTTAGTTTGTTAAACCATGTCTGTAGATACATACTAGACATATGTCTGAACAAAAACCATTTTGTTTTAGAAATTGAATTTGCCTAAAGGTTGATATGCTTAAAGACGTGAAGATATTTAAGATGTGTGCATTTATTTCTAGAATAAAATGTGTATCTCAATATTTATTTGTGTATGGTTTGTTGAGACTGAAAACATGCAGGGGAATTGCAAAATTAATGCACTTCTTAGACCCTAATCCCCATATGGGAAATCAAAATGCAAATAATTGCTTAAATTTTTTCTACTCTGTAAATGAACCTTAATCTTGTTTTATCATGTGCTTTAATTACTCTAGGGACAAAAAGCCAGAACTATATTGGGTATATATTGAAATTTCAGTATGGAATGAGAGGATAAAAAAGTCTTTCCAATAGTTCCATTTAAAGCATTTCTGACTCCCTGTTAATTTGCTAAAAATTCTTACTGTTTTAACTGTCCCATGCTAGAAAGGCCATCTCTATTGACATCCTTGGGTTTTTTTGTGCAGATATTTGATATTTCTTGGGATTTATACCAGCCAAACAAGCTCGTCAGCTGTGGTGTAAAACACATCAAGGTAATGAAATAACTCTTCATTTATAAAATATTTAAGCTGCAGTAATATATGTTCTATAAAACATATAAAAATAGAATCTAAAAGGAATATAGAATGATAATATGGAAAGCCTTGCATAAGAATAATATTATATATTAAGTTCTTATAAGTGCAATCATGAATCACACCTGACAACACTAGGTACTTTAAAAGATCTGTATAGTGAAAAACAGACCTCCTCTGCTCAAAAGACTTCACAGCCTGGCAGAAGTAATGTAGTAGGAATAAGACAGTTGTCAGTAGCATTGTATGTAATGCCTGTAATATAATTTAAAATATAGGTTCTCTAAAACTCGCTGTTTGAAATCCAAAGTAGTGTAAGACAGGATGCACATGCACAGGTGACTCCAGGTACTCAAGTTTCTGAATCTTGAACAGTGAATGAATTTCTGCACTACAGAGGTGAAATTAATTGAAAAACTGTTTCTTAACATTTACAGAGAGCATGAGGAGACAGTGGAAGAGAAAGGAAGAGAAGAAGCATTTTCCTCTCTTTTAATTATTTTCCCTGCTTGTATTCGAATCTTTGTCATTTGGAGCACTCTGTACCTGTTACAGAATTCATAATTTGGACAGCTCATGTCTTTTTCAAGCAGGCTCTGTTTGATCCATATAGGAAATGCTGTGCAGGAGCAACTTCTTTTTCAGGTTTAACTTTGTCAGCAGGATTATTAATGATTAGGAGCTGTGTTTCCTGTCAGTCACTGTCTTCTCCCATGCCTTGTTTTCTGTGTTACCACATAACAGCAGTAGATGGCAGCTTGAAAGTTCTGTATTGCTGTTGTGTGTAGGTTCCCATGGTGGGGAAAATGTGTTGCTTTTTATACAATGAACTTTTAGAGTAATATGTATTAATGGCCTACTAGAAAAAGTCTTAAATCTGTTGGCTAGATTGCATAAATCTGATTTGGCATAGTGTTTAGCATGTCAGTTAAAGAATTCCATGAACTTGCTTAATAATGATCTTTTTTTTCTACTTCTCTAAGAGGACCTTTATGCCAATAGTAAGCTAATATTTGCCAGCAGTGATTTAGTATATTTAAGATGGCTTTATGATATCAAAATGTATCTATCTAGATAAGCAAAATTTTGAGCAACTTTTAAGGCTCTACAAAGCCTTTCTAAATAGCAACATAATTTTAAAAATAATTGCTGTTTCCCCTGGGGAAGCATTATGGAAAATCAGAATTCTAGATGAATTTAAGCATTTGGATCAGGTAAGAGATTTTTCTTGATGTGTGTTTTTCTTAAACCACACCTTCTTGTTCTTTCTGATACCAAGAATTTCTTACATGTTTTTATTACTATTGTATTTTTTTCTCAGATGATATTTTATGCAAATTGTAATAGTCAAGTTATGTAGATAATTCCACGTGAATTCATGTTGGGGAATTACTTAGCTACATCACCAGCTTCCACATTGGAGCTAGGTGTTCAATTTATGCAGTGACTGTGTAGCTGCTTCTCAAGCAACAACATGGTCTATGTGCTTTAGTTAAAAAATACTACTGTCATGGTTTCACCCCAGCCAGCAACTAAGCCCCAACCAGGTGCTTGCTCACTCCACCACTAGCAGGACTGGGGAGAGAGCTGGAAGGGTAAAAGCTGGAAGACTCATGGGTTGGGGTAAAGACAGTTTAACAGACAAAGCAAAACCTGCAAGTGCAAGCAAAGGCCACCAAGGAATTCATTCACTGCAAAAACACTGGGATAGGCAGGTGTTCAGCCATCTCCACAAGAGCACACATAACAGTGGGGGAAGACTACTCCATGACTCCAAATGTCCCCCTCGTCCCTTCTTCCTCTCACTTTGTACACTGAGCATGAGGCCATATGGTCTGGAATATCCCTTTGGTCAGTTTGGGTCACCTGTCCCAGCTGTGTCTCTTCCCAACCTCCCATGCACCCCTAACTTCCTCACCAGCATTGCAGTAGGTAGGCAGAAGAGCCCCTGGCTGTGTAAGCTGTGCTCAGCAATAACAAAAGCATCTCTGTATTATCAACACTGTGTTCAGCAAAATCCAAAACACATCCCCATACCAGACATTGTGAAGAAAATTAACTATCCCAGCCCAAACCAGCACATTTAGTAAAGATTACTTGGATTTATCTATTCAATACTAGTCATTCTAATCAGTAATGGTAATTTCTGATTATTTCTGAATTACAGTTTTTCAGGTACAAAAATCTATTCATGGTAACTTCTTACATTATACCATATTAATTGAAGTCTGCTCAGAATTTGGAATTGATTATTGGTAACAGAGTGCCTTGCTGTGTCCCATAAACACATATGCAGGAAACTCTATATGCTGAGACAATGTACGAGTAACCTGTTAGCAGTGATGCTTTCATGTTTTGCATTGGATTACTTCAGCAGCTTCACTTTCCAGTACACGTTTACATGTTTGGACAGGAGGGTTTGAAAGGAATATGCAAGTGCTTCTTGATTGCAGGGGCCTCAGAAACTAGTATTTTTCTGGAGACTTAGTTGGCAAGTATTGTGCTCTGACAAGAGACTTTGCATGTCTTTAGCCCAGGATTCATTGGTACATATTGTGTAACTTAGGAGGGAATTCATGCTTGTATGATTGCTGCAATTGCATACAAATTTTGTTAGGAAGTTCTTAATCCCTGCCTCAGATGGCTACTTTATGTGATCCATGGTTCTGATGAGACACACATCTACAATAAAACCAGCTGCCTTCAAACAGAGCAAATAAAGTCTTATCAGAAATCCACATGCTTAGGTGGCGTCCTTAAATGAATGAAGTAGCATAAAGTACAAATGCAGCATTTTCAGCATAAAAGTCTTACGTCTAAGGACGATAATTCTGCTATGAAATGCTTTTCAAAAATGACTGAAAATACGACTCACAAATTATTATTTGAAAGAATTTTACTTTGATTTAACACTGATATCCCAAAATTCCTTCCCAACTACCCTGTTATGATGCTTTTACAGGAAGATAAAGTTGGTTAGTAACATAAAACATTGTTAAACTAGAGAACTAAGGCATGGAAAAGGAGGTGAATGGTGATGTCTTTTGCAAGGCAAGGTCCTTCTCTTTCAGATGTGCATATTAAATTCTAAAGTATTAGCAGAATAACCATCTTTCCAAATCCCTTTATGTTACAGTTCTGGAGCTTGTGTGGCAATTCGTTGACACCAAAACGTGGTGTCTTTGGCAAGACCGGAGATCTCCAGACTATCTTGTGCCTCGCCTGTGCAAGGGATGAAGTGACGTATTCCGGTGCACTGAATGGAGATATATATGTATGGAAAGGAATCAACCTTGTTCGGACAATACAGGGAGCACATGCTGTAAGTGTATCTCTCCAAATTTAATATTAAATGTTAAGTAGATTTCTGGAAAGCCAGAAAGAGCAACCCAAGGTCATCTTGTCTGTGTTCCTAAATGTTTTCAATGATATTCAGGATGTCTAATTTGAATATTTTTTTTTTAGAAAAGTATACAGCTTTAAAAAGTGAATTCATCTGGGTGAAAGTTTAATAAAAATTTCCCAAAGTATTTGTTAATATCTTCTTTTAATTGAAATGTTTAATATGAATAAAGTGATTATAATTTTGCTATGTAAGTTTAAATTACATTTTCCATGTTACTTTAAAGCATATAGGTTTGTGATTAAAGTAGGCAGGAAAAAAACACTCTTTCTGGTTTTCCATCAGATTTGTGCATGCTAAACTGTGAAAATCCTCATTAGCTCTCATAACTGTCCAAGTATCACTTAAAAACAAAGACAACCAGTTTCTGGTTGGTTCAACCTGTAAAGCATGAAACTGCTAAGGTCACTTTATGAAGCTACATGATTTGAATGTTGTTGAATGTTAATTTTTGTTTTGAAAAACATTGTACCTTCTTGATATTTGAAATTCCCCTATTAGCAATTTAACATGGTGTGAAAAAACAAGCATATGAGTTCTGATATTGTAGCTTCAAAAGTCTAGAAGAAAATCAATAACAGTTAAAGATTCTTGCTTGTGAGGGTGTGTTTGTTTTAACCAGCATGTTGGACTGGGTGGTCTGACATTTATAACTGAGGTATAAGAGTCACTCTTTGATTTAATCAGGTAGAATGGAGGGGACGAAGCAATCAATGTTATGTGTGTGGGAGAGGTTGCAGTTAGTTGGTTGCAGGTTTACCAAAAATTTAGAGCTACACATTCAAGATGATTGCAGCTTGTTAAATGAACTAATAATTCAAAAGTGATTGGAGTGCTTATTCAGACAGTTGTTTAATGACACTATCTCTGGTTATGAGCAAAGATAAAGTTATGAAGAACACCTGTATGTGAAATGTATCCCAAACTGTATTTTGCATTTGAGATTTCTTTATATATATAGAGGTGTATGTATATGTATGTATGTATGCATGTGTGTATATATATAGAGATATATAGGTATGTGTGTGTATGATAAAAAAAATTACAGGTAAACACACACAAGCATACTGTCCTTTATGCATCTGTATAAATATTAAATGTATCCAAGAAGGCCCAAATTATAAATCAGGAAGAATGAGGAGGTATTTATGGTGTGGAGCTATCCCTGATTCTTGCTCTGTAACTTTAAATCTCATTTCAGTATTCATAATAAGTGTTCAATAGCATTCTGTTATTTTCTGTGTTTTCCTGAGATTGTTGGGCGTTGTATATGCAGACCTTGATTCCCAGAGGAAAGAGAGCACTTAGTCTCTTGTTGAAAACTGATGCCAAAATATTCTGCCATCCAGTTGGTGATGTAGGAGACAACTGACCTTCATATTAACATACTTGTGACTTTGACTGTTTAGACTTGCAATAGTTTATTTCTCAGAATATTTCAGTTCTTTTCAGCTGTTTAAGTGTGAAGTGACGCACTGAGAAATGTAAGATCACAAGAGCTTGTTGCTCCATTCCCTTATGTGCCGTGTCAGTTCTTAGTTGACCATAAGATCAAATTTGAACATCCTTATCTTCATTAACATCAATGGACAGAGCTCAGGTGACCTTGGAGGAGGTCTCATCTAGCCTTCTATTTTTGGCTCTGTCATCTAGGCTCAATGGAATTGTACTTTGCAGTACTGAAAATTATGTAGGAACACTAGTCTATGTCTTTGAAATTCATTTTTTCAAGAGATTAGAGTCACTACAAATCTCACCAATTTCAGGGAAAAAAAATCCCAATAAAATATGGAAACTGCTCTCCAACAATATAAAACCTTGTTTTCCAATAAAATATTACGTTAAAAGATGATATTGAATTATCAACTCTAAGCCAAATATATGGAAACTTGCAATGATGGTATTTCTTCAGCCATACTAAAATATTATCATGACATTTTATGGCTACTTAATTTAATAAATTAATGTACTTAATTTTATAAATTATAAATTATGTCCTTCTTGTCCAGAGAAAAGGCACTTGTATGTAACAAGATTTATGGTGTATGTATATTGTTAAAGGGACAGTGTGTGTGCAGTAAAGAATTGATACAAAATTCTAGTATACTAGTATTGGAATTGTCATCCCTGCCTACCTGCTCATCATCCTGCATCATTACTCCTCAACAGCTGGGACATAAACTGTAATCTTATTGAAGGAAGATGTCTCATTTTTTGCATAAATACCATTCTTTTCTTGCAGCATAAACAGCAGATACCTGAGATACTGGAAAACAGTTTCTAAGCCACATTAGTGATGTGAAGAAATAGTCCAGCCCCAGATTTATTAAGTTATTATTAAGACATTTTCTGCATTAATATAGAAAAACTGTTCTTTTCAAAGTTTGTTGCAGTTGAAAAGACATTTTTCGTTTTAAGAATAATTCAATGTGAAAAATAATTCATTGTCTCCCAGTATGAGCAACCAAGGAAACAGATAGCAACTTTAACAACTAAAATAAGAATTCTTAATTCAGACAGATTATTTGTTTTCTGTCATACTAGGAGAGTGGAAAGTAGAGTTTTTTGCAGATCTCTGAGTTTGAGTAGTAACAAAAAGTTGAAAACACATGAGTTGAGGTGACTGGAGAATTAGCTGGAAGAGGATTAGTGAATTCACTTAAACTAGAAGTAGGAATGAAAAGTTGGAAAAGGTAGAAATGAGCAGGGTTTAGGAGTAAAGGCACAGAGTTCATGTGCAGGGAGCAATGGACAACAATGGAAAACTCTAATTCTATATTTGCCTCCTAAATAATAATCCTACTGAAAATTTTAAAGGGAAGAAAGAAAACAATAACATGACAGTATGTAAATTTTCTGGCAATGGTAATAATCCATGAGGTTATTTGTAGGTGATGGATCTCACTCTGGAGGGTTAATAAATACCTTGACTAATAAAAAATATAGTCTTTTAATAGATGTCTCATTTGTGTACCAGTGCAAAGAACAGATTATAGAATCTTCCACTTTTCACCTTATATGTTCTAAATTCAAGGTAGTTCATGACTATTAAGATATATACAAGATGTTAACTTGGATATTAAAACAAAATTGTATACTTAGCTAAAACACTGTATGTTTTAAGGATCTATGCTTTTACCTTGCATAGTAAATATGCATAAGAAGCTTTCTCAGCAGATGAATAATTAATTTTGGGATAGTCTTTCAGAGGTACACATTAAAGTTGTGTGGATTGATGTCAGAAACTGAGGTTAAATAACAAGCTCGAGGTTAAATAACAAGCACTCTGTTAAAACTATTGCACGCCTATGTCAGTTGGCTGGATACTAATTAAATATAGATGGAAACAATATAATGAACTTAAATGAATGGTTTTAAGCTGGTATCATGTACCAACAGAGTCATGCAGTATTTTCTCCTGCTGCTTAAACTAGTCATTGGTTTCAAAGGTAACTGTCCATTTCTTTTAGCCAATGAGAGGCATATAAACAACTACTTTAAATTTTTATTGTAGTAAGTACATTTCTAAACTATTTTCTGTATGATTTGTTGGACAGTAAGATCACATTTCACAGCAGAGTCTCGCTGCTGCAAACTCACTGACACCTATCTTAAATGTTTGCAATCCACTTCCTTACTGTGCAGTAGGTATTGGGAGAGACAGTGTCTCAGAGTGTGTTGTTTTACATGCTTTACATTTCTGTGTCCTGTAGTGCATCTGGGAGTAAAAAGGAGGCACTGGAGTTGTTCTTGTGTTGCTGTAGCATGTTCTCCATGCTGCTCAGTAGTAGTCAGTTGCTTCTGAAGTTTCTATATGATTTTCCAAGTTTGGTCCTAATTATAGCTAGCTGCAATCATCGTGCTTTAGGAACTGCATAGTCAGAGTGGTGGATTTTATAAAAACAATTGCATTGAGATAAACTGGTGCCTGATTTCTGTCCATTGGGGGCAAGATAGGTTCAGCAGCAGTAGAAAACCACAAACTGCTTCAGTATTGGTGACTTCTTGGACGCAAGTAGTGGCAAAGTATTCATACAGGAGGGATCATCTTTGTCAAATTCCTTTCGCACTTCTCCAGCTTTCAACTATAATTTCTGGTAGATCTGGGCATTTTTTTTTTATTTGCTCTCGTTCAACTATTTTTTTTTCATATTTGAAGGAACACAGATGTGATACCAGCTGGTTATGTTGGAAAAACAGGAAATATTCAGCATTCTGAGAAAATGTTGACTGATTTATTATTTCCAGAATTTTCGTGTTCATTAGGAAGTACAATGAAACATTTGTAAAAGAAGAATGCAGTCTGTATGCCAAGTTTCATAGGTTTTAAGATGGAAATCTTTGATTTACACCTTTTATTTTCATTCAGAAGCACAGTCTTTGCAGCTCACATTCAATTGGATCTAGCAAAATCAGTGCAATTGTTTGCCCCTTGTTACTGCTAGAGAGTTTTTAACCATCAAGAATCAAATTATGTTAATGACAATTTCAGGCTGAAGAATTAAAGAAACATGTAGACTCCGAAGTTGATTTTCATTAACAATCTTGCCAGTTTTTGAAAGGAAGGATTTAGTGGAGGATTTACTGGCCAAGCTACCCAAGTAAAGAATCTGTCTTTTCCACTTAGTGTAAGTCTAACAGTTATATGAAATATAGCAAAGCTCAGCGTTTTCCATTACATATTTACATTCTCATTAATGAGGGACATATATATAGTTTTCAACTCATTCTCTTATTCCAGTGGCACAAAGACTGAAATGAGAGTGTCCTATTGCATTTCAAGAGATTGAGCAAGCACATCTGCCAAATCTCCTTGACAACCAGTGTGTCCTTTTCAAGATAAGGATATTCTGTGGAATGGAAAACAGATTAATGCTGGATCCACTTGATCTTATCTTCAGACCATTCCGCCAGCTCCCACATCACCAAATGTCTGATTGTTTTTTTTAATACTGACTAATTAAATAATGGATTTTGTAAAAAGCTAATTAGAGAAAAAGAAATAATTCTATTATCAAGATTGCATTCCAAAAAGAGCTTTAAAAGACTTAAACTTGGACAGAATTCAGCATATGCTACAAGATGAGCTGAAATTCCTCTAGGCTTTTATTTATTCCATGGCACCTAGAATCATAGAATCACTAAGGTTGGAAAGGCCCTCCAAGATTAGAGTCCAGCTGTTAACCTGGCACTGCTGTGTTCACCTCTAAACCCTATCCACAGGTGCCACATCCACCTTTTTTTTTTTAACACTTCTCAGGATTATTCCTCTAGGACTTCCCTGGGCAGCCTGTTCCTGACAACCTTTTCAGTGAAGAAATTTTTATTAGTATCTAACCTAAACATTCTCTGCAACTGGAGGCCATTTCCTCTCATCCTGTCATTTGTTACCCGGAAGAAGAGACCAACCCCCACTTGGCTACAGCCTCCTGTCAGGGACCTGTCTCACCTGAGCCTCCTTTTCTCCAGGCTAAACACGCCCAGCTCTCTCAGCTGCTCCTCGTAAGACTTCTCACAATATTAAAGCTTAATGCAGTAAAACAGGCAGATACATGTGGAGAAAAGCAGATAGAATTTGTGCTGTATTTTCAAAAACCTATAGGCTCCTAAAGAAACAGGATTTTCAGGATGTTAGAGATAATGAGAATTAGCCTTCTAATCTGCTTAGGATTTCAATATTCCACAACATTTCTGTTTAGACACGTCCTGCTCCTGAACTTGGGGCTTGTCTTTAAAGTCTCTTTCTTGAGAATGGACATGACATGCCAAAAAATTTGAGTTCTGTCACTCTAGTCTTTCAGTTTTGATTGTCATTTGACATTCTAATAGGCTTCTTTTTTTTTGTGAAATCTGAAAGATTTTTCTTAAAATGAAAAATTATATCCTTGTTACCTGATGCTAGAGAAGCAAACACAATCCATATTTTGTTATGACCAGTCCATTATGATATTTTTCTTAGTTGTAATTTAAGAAGAAAAAGCATATTGGTAGGAGATAATAGTCATGAGTACCCCAGAATTCTCACAAGTCACATTATTTGTTCTGTGAGTGTACAGCTTCTTTTTCCCCCAAAAGCCAAAATCTCCTTTGAAAATTGCTTTCATCTTTGCAGTTAATGTGCTTCATGACTGTAAAATCTGGATCCTATCCATAGAACTGTTAGAACTTTATTTCTGTACAAAACTGAAATTTCAGATCAATATTGTAGAAGATATGTGTGTATTATTGGCTGTTCTACTCTTTTTTGGACAGATTTTCTCTTCCATTGTTTCTAATGCTCTCTTGTTTAGTTTTCGACATAGCTGAATATTACATACTTGAAGTAAATATAGAGCAATTTCTAACTTTTCATAGGCTTACCAGGTAAAGTTGCCCTTTCAGTAGCTTTGCTTACTGAAATGTATGAGTTATTTCTGAACAAAAGGCTAGTGAGTTGTGTAGGCAATTAAAAAAAAACCCAATAGTGTTTATACCATTTAGATATGTATCACTGAATCAAATATAGTGGCTATAGTGTCTTTATTTTAATACTGCCTATATCATCCTTGCCTCTTTGTTATCCTGATGAAAACTTGTATCAAGTGAGTTGAAGAAAATGGATTAGGGGTTTTGTTTCCTGATGTCTGCCTTTAAAATAAAAATTGACATTAATTTTTCAATGATGTAGCATGATCATTGTTTTTCTTAAGTTTTATTTCTAAACTTAAATTTTAAATCAATCCTCCTTGGTTTAAAAAAACCCAAAATCCCAGATGTTTTGCGGGTTGCTGTATAGCAGCTGAGTACTAGCAACAAAAGCCCTAAACCAAGCCTAACTGAGGTCATGGGAAATCTTCATGCTGACACCTACTAGAGTTGGACCAGGTCCAAAGGCAAGAGGATATGAAACTAAGCTCTTTCTAGGGATAAGAAACAGCATTACTATGATGATCATCATCAGAAGGAAAGCATTCTTGCAGCAATTCACTTACTGTTTGTCACTTGTTAATTCCGCTTGTTTTGAGTTTGTTTCCATTTTTGACTTGCTCATATTTGAAGCTTGTATTAGTTGCATACTGGTTTCCTCTAATTTGTTTATGTTGTTAAAAGTAACCTTCTTCTCTTTTTAGGCAGGAATTTTCAGCATGAATGCATGTGAAGAGGGGTTTGCCACTGGTGGCAGGGATGGCTGTGTTCGCTTGTGGGACTTAAATTTTAAACCAATTACTGTGATTGATCTCAGGGAAACAGACCAGGGATATAAAGGTAAAGAGAAGTTTGTCACTTTCAGTAAGTTCTTACCACTAAGATAGGAAATTTATCTTATTAAAAATGTTATCTTATCTTATTTAAAGTGTTTTGAACAACACTTTAAAACCCAAAACATTGTTATATGTACATTACTATGAACTATTTACTAGGAATAGGATAGATCATGCCCCTGGTATGAAGGTCACAGTTACTTTTACAAACAGTACATATGAATAGGATGTAGACACAGATTGAATTTTTTTATGCACACTGTTTCTAGAGCACAGCAGTTTTTTACAAGGGACAATAATGCTTTAAGAGGACTTGAGATAGTGAGATCTACAGTGTAAAACAATGGAGTACAACAATTTCATTTGCTAGTTATCCAAATTTTCATTAAAACTATTTGAATGTTATCTACAGTTTTGTGGAAATTAAAACACTCCTTACTTGTAACTATGACTTCAGTTACAGTTCATGTCATACTAAAATTTTACATAGAGTGTTTTAGATATTGTTGCTATAATGATTTAGGATAAGAATACAAACATGTACTGAAGCACTAATGTCACTTACAATATTGCTTTTGTTGGCATTTGGTTTTCTTTGCCCGCAGTCACTTTTGTTATTTTCTAATATCTTGCCAAGAATTGGAAAATGTGCTGGAATATCTGGTAGCAGTGAGATGCTCAATACATAACTGATTACAAGTGAAGTCTTTGTAGGGTGTAATTGACATGGCATTCCCACCAAGATTGTGAAGTATTGCAAAAAGATTGAATACATTTCATTTAAAATATGCCCTGGAGTAGAATGGCTCTGTTTTAAATTTAAATTTACTCAACTGCTGCTTCTCAGTTCTGATGCATGTAGCTGAAAGCAGTTTCATTCTCTGTTTCATTCTTTCAGACTTATTCTCACCTCCAGTTTTCCTTCTTTACTTCTGATGTAACAGACTATTACCATAAACTTTTGCCTTGTCAAATGCCATGACAGATCAAGAAGATTTTTAAGAATCTTGTCTTGAATAAAATGAGTTTCCTGATTCTTTTCCCTTCACTCTTTTTTTTCTTCTATACTTCTGAAGATTGCCTTTATGCTCTGTCCTCTTGCTCATTTTCTTATCTGCATTTTCTGCTTCTCCACTGTCTTACCTCTTGGTATACTCCAAGTAGCCATTAAAAATTTTATCTTCCAAGGGCAAGGATGCCACTATCTATGAAATAGATAAAAAAAAAAGTAAATCCAGGAACAAGAGGAGGGATATGGATACTTCTTGACATTTTCTTGCTTTTATGCTTTGTCTTTTGCCACTTTACCTTTGTTTTACAAGTTCTGAGGATGTATCTCTCATTAACAATCTCTTCTGCAGGTCTCTCTGTAAGAAGTGTTTGCTGGAGAGGAGACCATATACTCGTTGGGACACAAGACAGTGAAATTTTTGAAATTGTGGTGCATGAGCGTAATAAGCCTTTCCTGATAATGCAGGGGCACTGTGAAGGAGAGCTGTGGGCTTTGGCTGTCCATCCTACAAAACCCCTGGCCATGACTGGAAGTGATGATCGATCAGTCAGGTTAAATTCTGATTCTTTGTTAAACTGCATTCAGTTTTATACAAACAACTAATTTTGTAGGTAACCTAATTGAAGTGTATATATTTTAAAGTTATTAAAATGTGGACTGAACTTCTACAGTTCAGTTATGCAGGGAATTAGTGCTCCCCAGTAACAAAATACTATTTCCCAAACCTCCCCCCACATGTGAAATTTGAAAACATTTATTTTAGGCTAACATTGAGCACTCAGAGACAAGCATCCTTTAAGTTTTTCAGGAGTTATGTTAAGCGTGCACAGCTTGTGATGAAAAAAAAATTGTGGTAAAAACTGAGACATTTTACTCTTACAGTATTTACTTTTCCAAATGCTGCAAATTAACTTTTAATGTGTGAATTTCATCAAACCTAGCCCATGCATTGTAAACAGAGCATAAATTTTCAGAAAGCCCATCAAATTACTCCCTCTTATATGTTTATCTCTACTTTTTTTGGTCAAAACCACCTTTTCTTTCTTCTAAGTTAAATGTGTTGGCATTTTTTGCTAAATATCTCAAGTGTAACAGAGTTAAGATAATCAATAATTCAATTATTAATATTGAAATATTACTCTTAAATTCCAGATATTGTAAATTGTAAAATAATAGATATTAGATTGTAAATAATAGATGTAATCTACCTTGTTATAAAAACTTGCATATTTTAACATTATTAGTTATAAGAATTTTTCATAATGACTTTTTATAGGAAAAGTGCTTTATACTGATCAAAGTCTAATTGTTATTTAATGTTTCTGGCTAAAATTATTAGAAAATAGTAGAATTTTTGCAGGAGTGGTCTAAAAGTATGTGTTGTCATATGCTATAATTTTTTATATTGAGAAATAAAAATGAATCTGTGCCCCCATTTTCTCATTAGAGATATTCCTTTCTTTTAAAATATATTTTTTGCTGTGTATAAAATTCACACCTATGTCTTAGATTTTCCTTGTGGAAAATTATTTTAAAACAGGGACACTGCCAAGTCCAGCATTGTGCAGAAACTGAGGGCATTGTCTTACCTATGACAGAGCTGCACACCCATTTTGCATTTGAAATAATTACTTTATTTTAGAATCTGGAGTTTAATAGACCACGCTCTGATTGCCCGGTGCAACATGGAGGAGCCCATTCGCTGCGCCGCGGTTAGTACCGATGGAATCCATCTTGCTCTTGGAATGAAGGATGGCTCCTTCACTGTGCTTCGAGTCAGGTATGCCACAAAACTACTGACAGTAGTTATTAATATTTTGATGCTTTTGTGGCCATGCATGTGATCATTTGTGTCTTTGTTCTAAATTGCAGAGGGCGCTCAGATTTTTTTAAATGTGTGCTACATATGTTCACATTGTCCTGTAACAACCCATTTAATAAAGTATATTGGTCTATTTGCAGAGAGTGGCAGTGTTCTAGGAAATGTTTTACTTTAGGTTTTAGATTCATGAATTATCCTTGAATTACTAAGAAGTAAATTTTCATTACTCCTTAAATTGTTCCCATATGTTGGAATTCTGCTGTAAGCACATCCTGCATACAAAACCAGTGCTGCCTTGTGCTGCTGTGATCCCACAGTTTTAAAGGGAAAATGAGATTTGTGTCTCATGTCAGTGAAGTTTTCTTCCCTATCTGAATAAAGATCTCATTATCTACCTGATGAAATTTTCCTTTTCTTCACTGTCCCTCAGCCCAGTGAAGCACCTTCTTGTATCACCATTTCCTCCTTTTTTTTCTCTGTGAAGCTCCAACCAACCCTAAAAACAGCAGTGTTGTGTTTGCACACAGGATAGTTAAGTTCAGTATATAATTTCACAATCTTGTTAATTTTTTAGACTGGGAACTTGGCAGTGTGATGAGACTCTTCTCTACTTATGACATGCTTTCTTTCATACTACAGAGATATGACTGAGGTTGTTCATATCAAAGACAGGAAAGAAGCTATTCATGAGCTCAAATATTCTCCAGATGGGAATTTCCTAGCTGTTGGTTCCAATGACAGCTCTGTGGATATATATGGCGTTGTTCAACGATACAAGAAAGTTGGGGAATGTATTGGATCCTTAAGCTTCATCACCCATATGGATTGGTCTTCAGACAGTAAATACTTACAGACCAATGATGGCAATGGAAAGAGACTTTTTTACAGAATGCCAGGTAAGATTCTGAGTTGCCTTCATGTTATTTGTTACTTTTGTAAAAAAAGCCAAATTTAAATCTTGGTTCAAAGCATGGGGGTATAGGAAATTTTTTGTAAGTTCATAAGAATATTTGCCACATTTGAATAAGTCCAGAATTTTTCTGGCAAAGTTACTGAAGTATTTCCATCCTTATATGTTTACTCTTTTTTCCAATACATCTTTTTATACTATAGACGCTGCCTTATAATTTGTTTTGTTTCTCAAAAACCAGTTTTTGCTCCCACTTTTTTTAGAAGAATTAAAATGCAGAATTTAAATGAAATTCTGCAATAGCTTAATAGCTTTTCTCTTATGGAGCTTAGATGTTAAATGAATTATCATTTGATTCCACTGAATGATTTTTAAAATGTGTGGAGTAATCTGTATGCTGCGGATCAGAAGAAGTCTTAGGTTTTCTAGAACTATGTTTGCAGCAGATTGAGGAATTCAACTTAAAAGAGCTTTTACAGTGAGGAACTTTGTGATAACCCCATTATTGCAAATGTTTTCAAGACAATTTTCTTGAAAACTTGACTGAAATCTTGAAATAATTTCTATCAAGGTGGCTCCCTCTGTAGAGGACATATGCACATATTAGTACCTTAAAGCTTGAAATAAGTAGTCCTTATTATAATATGCCAGTGGCAGTATTTATCACAAAGCTTGACTTCTGTCTGTTGCATGCACTCTTTACATAATAGTCTGTATTCTTCTTACTCATCTTTGTAGTATTTGCATTTATAGTAACTGTGTATTATCACCACTTTTTATATTGTCCATTCTTACACAAGATTTATTTTTTGCACATTCTTTTTCATTTTTCACAGAGCCTAGGAGCTTTTTACAACTCTCTGCTGAACCATCTAATCATTCCATGCACAACTTTGATTCTGTGCACTGAATGCAGCAGAAGATGTGTAAGAAAAGATAGTGAGACTTTAATTGGACAGTAACAAATATACACAGGAGGAGCAATTTGAAGTTACATAGCTTTCAACCTGGAGTTGCTTCATATGTCAGAATATGAGATTGTGAAACCTTTTTTATGAAAAAAGTTAATGAAAGTCAGTGGAGTTAGAGGAATCTCCCAAATATTTCAAAATAACAATTGAATTGTGTAACACTTGAAATTCCACTATGAATTAAGGAGCTTACAGTTGTCTGGCACAAGACCTGCAGGACTTAGTTATGGCTATAACCAGTATTGTCAATCATTGTTTACATGGATTAGTGGCTGAAAGGCTGAGAAGTGAATTGTTGTCCTGCTCACCCTCTGCAGGTGTGGGTTCAGTCTGACTCACAGCTTTTGCCTTTGCTTGCATCGTTCTTGCGTTGCTCCAGCCCTTGCCTACTGGCCTTTCCAGAAGACACAGTGCCTGTTTAATGAGCCTTTGGTCTGACTCAGCTCCTCAGCTCTTACCTTGTGGGACTGGATCAATCTCATGACAGACAGAGCTGGTGTGAAATTATGTAACAGGGATCTAAGCACAAAATTGGTGGTTTTAGTAATTTTCAGTGGCCAGATATGAGTTCTTCAGTTCTTGCTCTAAATAATCCAAGTTTCTACAATCATTCAGCAACAGACTTTTTTATGAGCTTTATCTTAGAACTATCACATGTATTTTTGATAAACATTTAAAAAATAACACAGCCTCAAGCAGATACCAAGAAATAATAAAAACTATAAAGCACCAAACCTATGATTTTCTGTTAAATACTCTTGAGAAGTCTTCTTGCTGATACTGTTGGTCATAACAGAGAGTACTAGATCAGGACAGTTTCAGAAGTCAGTTTTTAATACTGTTGCACTTGATTTGATTTTTAGAGAATTTTTTTTAAATGTTACATTCTTTAAAACTGCATGAGTGAATATTCAAAATGGCTCTTTATTTTTTTTTTCCTTAGGTGGAAAAGAAGTAACAAACAAGGAGGAATTGAAAGGCATTCAATGGGCATCATGGACCTGTGTTTCTGGCCTTGAAGTTAATGGAATCTGGCCCAAATATTCAGATATAAATGATATAAATTCTGTGGATGCAAATTTTATTGGTCAAGTTATGGTTACAGCTGATGATTATGGAATAGTAAAGCTCTTTCGATACCCATGTCTAAGAAAAGGTAGTGCTTTTTAAATTAAATTGTATGCATATTTTTAAATTGTGATCATTCAAGAAAAATGTATTAGAAGACTGGAAAATGAAATGGTTTTTAATACCACTTTTTTCCAAAAGAGTTATAAAATGGGGGAATATCAGTCTTTAAAAACAACACCCAAAGCATTTCTTGAAGTACATAAAGCTTGAAGACATATCCTAAGACCTACCCATGCAGTTGTAGCCAGCATTAAACAAGAATGGAGTCTAGAATGAAGCCCTTCAAACAGCTCTGAAACAATGTAGCCTTTCTGTTATAAGAGGATTATTTATAATGGAGTGCTGTTAGGAGCTTCATTTCAGTAACTCATCCAATGATTGTTTTGTAGTTATGTAGCCATGAACACATTAACTGGATGTAGCTGTACTACTGCTACCAGTTCTACTGCTAAATGTGGCAGGAGATAAGTTTCTAGAAGCTCTCAGCACTGAGATGTACATTGGGAACCTGTGCTACAAGAATTTATATGGGGGTGTTTTCACAGACCTAAATATACATGAACTAAATAATGGTATTTTTTCAAAGTAAAAGTAATAATTGTCAAAATGTTAGCTTGTAAAAAGTAAAATAAAATTAATACAGTGAAATTTAAAAAATCTCTGGCACACCTCATACAGCATTATCATAGGTCTTCTGTTCTTATGTTTAAGTTGATTAAGTTATTATATTTTGAAACCTAAACTTAAAAATGTATCTTATACACAGATTAAAATCTGTGAAAACTGCAAAAAGTTGTTGCTATTGATTAAAATACCAGTAGCAATTAGAATATCTTTATTAAACACTACTTTTTCTATGGGTTCCTTAATATGATTTTCTGAGGTGCTTCTGCAACATTTATTTCATATTGAGAGGGATTTTTATTCTTTTTCTAGGAGCAAAGTTTAAAAAATATCTTGGTCACTCTGCTCACGTGACAAACGTCAGATGGTCGCACGATCACCAGTGGGTTGTTTCCATCGGCGGAGCTGATCATTCTGTCTTTCAGTGGAAGTTTGTTCCCGACCGCAAGTTGAAGGACACTCTTCATATAGCACCCCAAGGTAAGCAACCAACTCAAAAACCACCCACAAAAGGGTGGAAGGCAGGAAGTCTAGAAAAGAAGTAAAAGTCCTTGGTGCCGGTATTGAAATAAATATTCAAAATTGTCTGTCTGCACAATTAAAACGGTCATTGTTTAATTTAATTTTGTGTGCCTAAAGCACCTGGCAGAGTTGTCTAATACTTGCCAGTACCCTTTTGTCCTGGTTTGGCATTAATTGATCTTGGGTGAAGATGAAAATGATCTGTGCATTGGCATTTGACCAACAGCCAAACCATCTCACCTGTGTGTTCAGGCTAGAAAGGGTATGAAAAACTCCTCACTGCTTTGCTTCCTTTGTGAAGGAAGATGTTAAAAGTTCAAATCATAGATACTAATGTCTGAATTCTGCATATATTGCCCTTTACTAAACTGACAACAACCAGATGCTCAGGTGTCGCTGGAAAAATATGGTTTTATACCAATTTGTTTAAAATTTTGAAGTATTTAGATGGTAATTGAAGTATTGTAACTGATTTTTTTTGTTTGTTTGTTTTTAAAGCAGAATATAGATGTTTAATATTTGGGAAAAAATGAAGATCATGTTTCCACTAGTGACTAATTAAACAATTATTCTCATGAGTTTCCTAAAATCAAAGCAGTTAACTGAGTGCCTCCATTGGAAATTCCTAAAGGAATTTAGACAATCCTTTGGGGAAATGAGAACATAGAATTACAATAAAATAGGCTGTTTCACCATTTAATTGCTCAGATCAGATGAATATGTATCAGTGTGGATCCAGCAAACAGGTAAATAAATACAAATGCAGTGCTGAACTTGTCAGTGACAAACGCAGAAGGAAACAATAATTTTCCTACATGTCAAACTTTACATGACTACGCTTTTTCTCTGCAGTCACAAAAAATTTTGCCTATTTTTTCTCATCTATAATTATAATAATATAATTTTTTCACTTCCCCTAACTTACTTGAAGAATTTCTACTTGCATTGGTGTCTCACTTTAACATAAGTTTTGCTTTGGACCATTTGTTAATTTTGTGCAAGTGCTAGTTTCTGCTTTGTACTGATTATTTCATTATTTTTTTTTCCCCCTTTCCTCCTAACATTAGAGCTGATGAAATATTTTTAGTTAATAAAAACTAACTCATTCCAACACCCAAAATTATCATATTTATGGCTTATTTTTTATGAAGCAGCAAAATTGTTCCTGTCAATTATTAACAGTTTATGTTGTGCTTAACATAAGCATTGATTATCAAATCAGAAACTTTAAGCAGTTATTTTAAACTTTCTGGCTGGTAATTGAGGTTGCTTAATTTTTTATTTCTGTTTTCTTGGTGATAGAGAGTCTGGTTGATTCTAATAGTGATGAATCAGATTCAGATCAATCTGATGTTCCAGAGCTGGACTCTGAAATTGAACAAGAGACACAGATCACCTATCGTCGACAGGTAAAGATTTTAGTTTTAATGGGGGTTGGAAGCTTCCTAGGGTTTAAGTTGGTCATTTATGAGGACTGTTGAAATCTCAAAATTGGGGAGACTGCATGAGAACTTACCAAATCCTTTAGAATTTTTGTTACTTGATGCTTTCAGAAGGATTCAAGGTTATTAAAATATAATTATTAATTAATAATTACAAGTAAGATGTTAATATTAATATTAACAGAGAAAAATTATTACATGCAATCCTAGAATGCAATTTAAAACCAAGTTGCACTATATAGTCACCAGCTATAGGTCTAGAAGGGTTTTTTCAATTATGTCAGAATACCATTTTCATGAGTGACAACAGCAGCTGAATTCTCAGAAACATGTTTTTCTGATGAGTTTTCTAAATTTTAAGTATGCTTTTTCTTAAAGGTTTACAAAGAAGATCTACCTCAACTTAAAGAGCAATGCAAAGAAAAAAGAAAAAGTGCAGCTTCTAAGAGACGTGAGCGAGCTCCAGGGAACAGTATAAGACTACATTTTGTTCATGGGTATGCAAACTAGGATTCTTTAAAATATACAAGCAGACTATTTGACTTCGTGTTTATAATTCAATAATCTGATTAAAGGCTTTTATATCTGTTGCTTTATGATTTGCTATTTTATTTATATCTGTAGAAATAAATTTACACTAAATAAATAGAAAGCTTTGATGCCAGCATACTAATTCTACATGTGAATTCTGAAGTGAATTTGCACTCAGACTTTAGCTGGTACTTATTGCTTGAATACAGGTGACTAAATAAAGTATTCAGTAATCTCACCCATACTTTTCAGTAGTTCTCTTTGATGTATGATTCTGATACCTAGAACAAAAACTCTGTCATTGAAGATGACTGGGTTCTGGACAAAGTGGTGTTTTTAGCAGTAATTGATTAAAATAATAGAAAAAAATTATAAACTGTTTGTACCTAGTCTGAAACAACTTACATATTCCTATCTTAGTTTAGGAATTAAATGTAATTCTTAATAGGTCTTGTGAGTTTGTTAAAATTAATTTATTCTCTTTGGTGCTAATTTGAGTAGCTTATTTGAGAATGACATTTGGATGCATCCTGAAATCTTACGATTTCATCATTAGGATTAGTAGTTTCCCATAATTTTTCATAAGTGAAGAATTTTTATCAGAAACAAGATGTGGTGTTTAAAAGCAAACTGGTACTAGATGTTACTGCATTAGAATAATGATCAGAAATATGAATTCTCTTGATATAAAGCAAAACCAAAACCTTTACTCCAGTAAGATGTTGCAAGTCAAGTTTTCCTTTCAAAAGATACCTCTTTGGAGGAATACAACTTGTTTTTTCTAAATGCAGGGAGAAGTTACTGATACTGTCTGTCTTTATAATGGCACTTAAACAATTTTAGTAGGACTCCACATGGGATGCTTAATAGATTAATTGGCTAAGAACAGTTAATATTCAAATCAGCAATTTTGTCTGCAGAAGACATGCAGTCTAGTGCATGCAGAGTAGTAGCTTTGGAAATAATGACAACTGGGAAGCTTGGTACAGAGTTGGGGTTTTTTACTTCTCTTTTTGGTGCTCCAGAATTCAGAATAGAAGATTTTTATATCTGCATAGAAAATGCATTAAGGTGGGTAGCTGCTGTATGTAGTCTTTAAAATTTGGTCTAAGACTAAAACCAAATGATCCTGAAGAAGATGTAGCACAAGCAAGGGCCCTGGATCTTTGGTATTATTGTTATTTCCTTCACAACAGAAGTGAAGCTTGACCAGAATATCCAGGAATGACCAGAAGTAGAATGTCCTGTTGAGTTCTGTCTGGTTACCCAATGGGCATCAAGAAAACTAATGAAGAATCCATGCTGAACAACAGATTTTTCTCAATGTCCAGGCTGTTAACTTTAAAGTGACCCACATCCAAGTGAGTAATAGGCATATTCTCTGATTCAGGAAGTCTGCTTTGCTTCATCTTTCTCTAGTTGCAATGGAAATGTCTTGGATGTTTCTTGAAAATGTAAGAAGTGGTGCTGTTTTTAATTAGGGGAATCAGCAGCTCTTTTTCTTTTCTTTGTTTTTGAGCTTGTTGGTCTTGTGTTTTGAATTTGTCAACTGCCTTGAAAGACAAACTTTTAAAAATTTCTTGATAACCTGTATGTAATATCTTAAACCTCTGGTTACTTCCTGATTTGGAAGGGAATAAAATTCAGAGTATGTGAGCCAGCTTCTGACTAACACGGATATGGAAAGAACTTCTGTTGAGAGGTTTAAGTGTGTCTTTCTCTAAGAGATCTGGTGTATTTATGATTTTAGAGAAACAGGATGTTAAATTGGTGTACAAATCTGGCCTCTTTTTAACTATGCCTGTATTTTAATTCTGCCATGTCTTTGGCAGGGTGGTGGTTCAGAAACATGAACTACTCAGATGAACCTTTTTCTTGGACTCAATGCTTATTATGCCTTCTTTTTGCTGGCAGGAAATAAGGATGCACATGTAATACTCATGCCCCATATTCTCTCAGAGCTCTGCTGCTAATTTCACACTAATGATTTCTTGTATTTTTGAATATTCATAGAATTATAGAACGATTTTTCAATATTCAAAGCGTTTAAGTACAATCTAGTTTGAGTTTTAGTGTATCCACCGAATTAACCTTGCCATAAGATGAAATTTGGTAGCAGTTTCAAGATGATATGGGAATGCTTTGAAAGTTGAGCCTTATAACACCTTGCATGGATTCTTACAACTGCCTACAAATACTATCTGAAGGGAATAGCCTATGAGTGGGTCCTCTTGAGAAAACTACTTCTATGCAGAATATATTTTAAAAAAAAATAAGTCTCCACTTTTGTACTAAAGACTCTGTTCTTAATCATATCAGTTTTGATATTTGGTTCTTCTAAAGATTTTTAGTGGAGGGTTGGACTACACATGGAAACTTCCTCCATATACTTTGAAGAGTAACACGCAAATTTTGAAACTCTTACAGCATTAGACCAGCTACGGACATTGACTCTTTTCCCAGAGAGGACAGTACATGTGAAGTTGCCTGTTAGTTGGATATAGATGCATACCTTGCAAATGTGGGTAGGATTCAGCTTCAGGTTACAGAAGTCACAGTGATATGCCCAAAAGGAGATGGTTTTATGTGTATGTCTTAATTTCCATCACAGTCATTGGATATCCAGTTGGTAGCCAGTGGAGCATAAGGAGTGATTTGGCTCAGGTAAAATGAAATGCTGATGGCTGACCAGCTGAGCAGCCCTGCAGGTTCAACTGACTGCATTGACAACACTATTGATTAAAATGTAGGAGTTAATGTACCTAAAAAACATGTGAACACGTATGTTTACATGTCTTAACCTCAAACTGAATGCAGCCCCAGCTATTCATGACTTTGGCAAATTTTATTCCCTATGTAGCACTGAGGAAACTACATCTTCTTCTGACAGTTATTGTCATATTAACTTGAATCAATCCTGGATAATAACTATGGCAGAATGCAGTCTTATTTTTATTGTGCTTGCTATATATTATCCTGTAACTACAGTACAGAAATTGCTTTCATTATCATTTAATTTATAGCTGCTAATCAAGATGCCTTGTAAATTTCTTTGGTTTGTTTTCCGCACGTGAATAAATTATTTCTCTTAATGCTTTTTCAGAGGTTAGCTAGTAATCTCAGTTCTAAATTGGTTTAATAAAACAGAGATGGAAGTATTATGGAACTGTGTAGAATATTCTTAGGGAATGATCTTCCACATTGAAATATGCTTATTTTCATTGCTGTTTTACCAAGGCCCATCACTTTCCCTCTGGTGAAAAGTCCCTGTATTGTCAAGGAGTTAGTAAACTGGCATGTAGGAAGGACACCAAATGTGTTTAATTAGGTGACAGAGAGTCTTCATTGATGCTGCTTGATATTTTGGCAAAATATGATGTATTTTAATTGTAAACAATTGATTGTACTAATTTTTGTAATAACTAGAAGAAATTAAGTAAAATTAACTTCTATCACAAAAAGTGATGAGTAATGAGAACTATTTTCCTGCATCCTAGATACATTTTGGGTATTTTGAGTAGTCCTGTGCTATATGGCATTAAAGTATCAGTTTCACTATGTTTAATTTAGGGTATATAGGCAATTTTTATGATGAGGTGGGAATATTCTGAGTTTCCAGGTTGAGTGTTGGAAGACCTGAAACCCTTTTTCATGGTTCTTCATGCCTTTTACTTTTATAGGTGACTGCTAAGCTTGCAAGAAATCGCTCAATGTCCAGTATTTCTTTCAGCATGCATATTTCCATAGATGTTGTATTTTTGTTGTTGTTTTTTTTTTTTTAGTATTCTCTTTTAGAGTGCATATTTGGTCTTTATTTTTTTAAAACTACTCTGTGCTCGCAAAGGAAATCCAGTATGTTTAGCAGAGCACAGTGCAGAGTGAAGCACAGGAAAATGATGTCTGAGGAACAATAGGTTCAGGTACCTTCTTTAGCACTGTGCCTGCCTTTATAATCCCTGCCCCTCACCAACTGTTGTCATGTACTTAAAATGGTGATGTTACATACTGTCATAGGTTATTTTTGTTTTCTTTCTTCATAGTTACTGTAGGCCACTGTATATCCTGTTCCTTAAAAACCTAGGGCCTGTACATCTAAGAAAACTACAAGCAGACAGCACTTTGGGTTAGGCAGAAATGAGCTTCAAAACATCTGCACATGCTGCTGCAGGGGAAGGTGGTTAGTGAAGGATGTGGGTGGAGGGAGAGCAAAGCAGGACTGAAGAGCCTGCACCTGTATTGTGAATCTAAATTGCTGGCCACTTTGAGAAGAGCAGGGAGCAGACATACCTGAGCCTCAGATCAAATGGGCAGAGAGAGTCTGCCAAAGACATAGAAGGGACAGTAACTCAGGAGACACTGAAAAGTTGCTGACCTAGGACCAAGTCTGAAGTTAAGAATACCAATCTAAACAGTGAGTTGCAGGGAGTCTTATTTAAAGGCTTTATTTCTGTGCTATCACAATTTCTGCTGGTTTAAGAAGTTCACTTCTCTTTTTTTTTCTTTTATCTAATGCGACCCAGCTTTGGACTTCAGAGTATGGCAGACAGTACAAAGCTGGGAGGAGGGGCTGGCAGACCTGATGGCTGTGCTGCCATCTGGAGGGACCTGGACAAGTTAGAGAACTGGGCAGGGAGGAATTTAATGATCTTCCAAAAGTTTGAGATGAAAGTTCATGAAATACAATATTCTTCTGAGGAGCAGTGGACTTGGATTATTGGCTGGTGTGTTTAAAGACTTTGTGTGACAATAATTTTTCTTTAATCACATACAATGACACAAGTACCATTCATTGTGTGTAAATTAGGTGAGCCAACAGAAATACACTGTATTCAAATCTGCTCCAAGTTTGTGCTCTGTTGTTTTCCAGTAAAGCATAGATCTAGTGTTAATGAACATAGATCCATGGTTTTTGGAATATTCATTAAAGTTGGTCATCTGCCTTACAGATTCATTACTCCCCCAGTGCAAATGGTTGTGCTGAGTACATAGGGAAAGATGTATATAACTTCATGATCTTAGTCACACCTAGGAAGAAATGAGTGTAATGAGACAGTGCATACAGACCTCAGCTGGGAATTGGCCTGCTCATGCCAGTTCCTGTACCACTAAGAAGGCAGACAAGTTTTCCTTCAAAAAAAGAAACTGTTCTAGAAAAAAATTAGGCATTTGTTTTCTGTTATCAAGTTTGCAGAAACTATCATGTTTTGCTGCCTTATTTTTGAGCAATAGGAAATAGACAAAAGTTATACTTTGAACATTTTCTACTTCACTTGACTACATGTTGCATGCCCATCTTCTCCATGTGGTCTGAAAAAATTACTAGCTATTACTTTCTCTTCTAAACTAGCTGTGGAAAATAAAAATTAGGTGCCACTTTTAAACTAGTGCTTGTAGTACTGATGTCTGAGTAGTAAAATAGATTGATAAACTGGTGTTCTTTTAAGAACAGGAAAGCATATTCATAATTTTAAAGCACCAAAACAGTAATTGGTAAGTAATGTGAGTTTTACACGCACAGAATTCATCCAGCACAATAGTACCTCAGTTTCAGCATATATGTTTATGACTTTGGTGAACAAACCTTTTTTGTTTAATTAGTTACAGAGGTTACGACTGTCGAAGCAATCTCTTTTACACGCAGACGGGTGAAATCGTATACCATGTGGCAGCAGTGGGAGTGGTGTACAACCGGCAGCAGAACACACAGCGCTTCTATCTGGGTCATGATGATGACATTCTTTGCCTTGCTATTCATCCCTTAAAGGACTATGTGGCAACAGGCCAGGTAGGATTCATGTTTATCTGCAATAACAATCTGAAGTTGTTACTGCTTTAGAAAGGCCTTGGAGGTCTTGGGGCAGAAGCATCCAGTGTACATTTATTCAGGTGAAGGATTGCATTTCTGTTGCAGATGGAATCATGGTAAAAACCTGACACAGAAGTGTTTTTTACAGTTATTTATATTATGGTAAGATTCCATAGTTTTTCTGAACCTCATTTAAAACTAAGAATAGATTAATATTTTTTATTCAGCATTATGTTGCAGCTTCTTGATAACAGGTGGAGGAAATGTGCAGATTTTTTAATATCATGTTTGTGAGGTTAGCTACATTAGCATTGCATTCATTTACTATTTTGTAGTATGAAGTGAGCTGTTGTTGTTATAGTCTGGCATTCCATTTTAAAGCATTATATTTTTCATTATCACCTATACACAGATTGTGGACTGTTTGTGCATGCAACAAAGGGATGTATGTTGCTTGAGTTCATTCATACTAATAATAGTTAATTTTCTCTTTAGCTAGAGAGTTATTTTAGGTAAATTATTTTCACTCATGTTTTCAAACAAGTCATCCAGTAAATAATTATATACTAGGACTTGAAGGTTTAAGCTCATGTTTCGGGGTTTTTTATTTCTGCTTATCATTTTTATCATTCCTGCCCTTGTTATTGTATAATAAATTGGAAAATATGTGAACTGAATTTTTAAATAGAAATAAACTACTGTTTATTATGCTCTTGATTTCTATAGAAATGTTGAAATTAATGTAACTCTGTAGGTCAGTTAAGAAATCAGCCTGAAATATAAGAATTGAGTTCATTTAATTTTGGAGTAGTAAAGCTATGAATAAAAATGTCCCTGAATTTACAATAACTTATGCTATCAGCAGAAAGACACACTTCATTATGTATGTTGTATAGGTAATGCAGTAATCAAATTCTTCATGCCACCCTGGTTCAGATCTTCCTGAAACTTTTGAAAAGCTTTACAAATATCTCAAGTTTGTGACAAAACCAGAAATAGATCCTACTTTTTCTGAGCCTTAAATGCAAGAGAGTTTTGTTCTAGTTTTGCAATCTTTTTATTTGTACACTGAGGTGCTAAACCCTTGGAATAGCAAATAATCTTTTTAAGTGCTGAATAGTAATGCTTTTGTACATATCTGAAAAGAATAAGCTATATTGCATTTCTTACCAGGTTAGTTACCTACATTAGTGGATTCTAGTGAAAATTATTCCACAGTTATCAGTGTATTAGAATCTGCCTTATAATGACACTAGAAAGCAGCAGAAGTCACCTTGATTTCTGAAATGTAGAGAAGCTGACATACTAGCGATAAAAATAACCTTTTATTTTTAGACAGGGAATGATTGATGAAAAATTGATGGAATAAATATGCTACAGTGCAATCAATGCAGGGCTTTTTCCCCCCTCTCCCCCCCTGCCAGGACTTCAGTTAATTGTGATTACTGTGCCTAAATCAGCTGGGAAGTCATATTTGGGAAGCAGCAAAAGGAATAATGTTCATCTAGCCAGACAGCTGTAATACTAGGAAAATTCTCAGTGTATTTTCTTTTCAAACAGTTTTTGAAGTATTCTTAATGCTTTTTAAACAACTGTTTAAAATAACTGTAAAATTTAACTTGTGTTTAAAACAACTGTGTAAAATAACTGAGAAATTAAAAAAAAAAGGCTATGAATGTGTATACTTTCAGGTTGGTCGAGATTCCTCAATACACATTTGGGATACAGAAACAATAAAGCCACTCTCAGTATTAAAGGGCTATCATCAGTATGGTGTTTGTGCTGTTGATTTTTCAGGTAATAAGTATTTATTTATTTATTTACACTTTTACTTTTCTGTGTGAAAGTACAAAATAATCAGTTCTAGTGAGAAACTGGGGATTCCTTTACACTGAAAATTTTGCATTGAAAATATTCCCCAGCCTTTAATGTCAGATGAGAGCCGCTGTTTTAAAATGAACCTTCATTAGAAGGACCTCCTTTGGAATCTTGCACACAGGAAATGCAAGAACGGGTTCTGTCCTGTTAAACAGCTGAGCTGGGCACTTCAGAATCTCTTTTGTTTGTACAAGGCAGGTGTACAGATCTGGAGTGTTGTGTCTGCTTTTGCAAAGGTGTAAGAAGAGTTTTGAGAAAACTGATCAGGTGTGCAACTTTTTCTTTTTTGAATGAAATCCTGAAGGCCATGTGGGTTGCACACTGATACATTCAGGATTTCCACTCAGGGGGTTGTTCTGGTCAGAAACACAGGCTCTCTCTCCACCTTAAACTAACATAATCAGTTAAATCCCTTGCGAATTTTACACCCCCTACACTGAATTCTTGTACCAATATTAAATTTCCTCTCCTCCACTAGCTTCTTGTAATACTTTAATTGTTTGGATTTACTGGATAAGATCTCTGAACTCACAGTGAAGATGTGTGATCACAAAGATGAATGGTTTGTGGCCTGTGATGCTTCTTACTTTTGTTTCTCCTTTTTCAAGATATGAATCTCATTTCTCAGATTCTGGCATGGATATATAGCAAATCCAAAAATCGATACATGTCAGAAAGTCACTGATCTTGAGTGAGCACAAACAGCTTGTTTATTGAAGGTTAATGTGGATTATGTGTCAAAACTTTTCCAAGACTTCATAGTACTATTAAGCTTAAGGGCATTTCACTGTATTTCATTGGATGGCTTCAGTGCTTTCCCATTCAGAAATGAACAGAGACTTTCAGAGTGAACATGAAGTTTTCACAAGAACAGCCTGTGGTGAATGTTGTTGTGCAACTATGCCAGCAGCTAATTGAACAAGGGATTTAATATGAACAGAGAGCCTCTAAGTTCAAATTTGAGATAGGATAATTTAAAGTCCTACACTTCATCCAAGTTTAAAAGCAAATGGATGATAAAATATGCCTCTAAAAAACATCACAAGCTTATTTACTTGTTTGTACATTCTTTTTATATTATTTGTGAAGTTATATTTTTTTTAATATTGTTTCTTATTATTGTAACATAGTTATCTATCTACTCTCTTAAAAATAAATTTATTATTCTAGCGGATGGGAAACGGTTGGCTTCTGTTGGAATAGATGACAATCACACTATTGTACTCTGGGATTGGAAGAAAGGAGAAAAGCTTTCAGCAGTAAGGTAGGAATTTAACTCTTTCAAAATCTGTACCTAGATTTACTATCAAATAAAAGGAGAATATATTCATTAAAGAATAAGAGTCCTCTAATTAATTAGCAGTTTCTATTGCATAAGTGATGCAGGCAATAACTTTTATGTCATGTTTAAAACTTCCTGTGGAAGAAGTAAATAAAGGTCTGATAGTCAACAAGAACTACTACAGTGACTGCTCAGCTGGGGAAGAGAGATGGAATAGAAGACCTTGCTGTGTTCTGAAATAGCTTCTTTAAAACTCTGTGCACTTCTCTTTGCCCTCTTAAAGATGGTGACATTCAGATCTTAAAGATCGTGTGTTCAGATCTTTTCCTTCAGAGGTCACACCTTGTTTGGGATAGGAATTTGCAGTTGTTATGCAGAGTTCCTTTTTCTTCCGGGTTCTTTCCTTTATCTTCCTAAATCCTGACCAGTCTAATCTAACTCTGAAGTCAGCTCTGCTTTGAACAGGAAATTGGACTAACATGCAAAGGTTAAATATTTCTGAAGTTTCTTTGTGTCTTCACAGATTATTTAATATATGTTTATTAAATAGTTTTAATATACAATATAGAATCCTATTTCTAATTTTGAGTAATGTTATTTAAACCTTTGACTTTTTTTTTTTCCTAAAGATCTGTTGCTTAAAATTGAGCAGTAGTGTGGGTGGGTTTTGTCCCATTCTGTCTGGATTCAGTGATTATACTCTAAACAATGTTCTAGGTAGATTTTAAAAATATTTATTACTCTCAGCAGTACAATTGGAAAAGTTTCAGCTTCCCTTTCATCCATTAAGTCATTATTGCTCTTTACTTTCATTTACTCTCATTTTATTTTTAAATACATGTTGAATTTCTTATCAACTGAAGAATAAAAATTCTGGGTAGAAGGATACTCCCTTCCCAGTTACTTGTCGAAAGCTTGGCTTCTCTGAAGACATTTGTCTGCCTTTCACCTAACTTTTTTTCTTTTGTTTTGTTTCTCCCATCCACACAAAGCATGGGAAGAGATGAAATCTGATCAAAAAAATCGATCAGAATTTTTGAGAGCACCATCTGTATTTTGAAGATGGCTTTGAGTTTGGAAAGAAACTTTCATGCTTTCAGCCACTGGTTCATCAAGTGGTCTGAAAGGACAGAAAAACAAAGATTATTCCCACTTGTGAACAGGAAACAAAAAATAGGGATTGAGCACTCTTCTGCATTCTTCTGCAAAGAAAAACAACCTGTAAACATTGCTTTGCATAGATAGCAAACATAGTTGAAAGCTGTTGTTCAAACTGTAGGACTGAAGCAAAGCATTAGTTTTGTAGAAACATAGTAAGAAATATAAAACACAAGAGGTTTTAATGTTTTGAGAACCAACTGTAATTTCCATCAACGACATAATAGCAGCATAAATTTTGTTTTTAACAAAACAGAAAAATCAACTAAATGGTGAATGACAAGGGCAGTTTGTTTTCAAAATAGGCAAATTTAAAATAAGATTTGTAACTTTACTCCTTTAAGTGTCATTATGAGCTGTCAAAGATCTAAATACCATATACCCAAACTAAATGCAAATATATCTTCTTTGGCAAAGAAAATGCCTCCTAGTGCCTCTTTGAAGTAACATCATTACTCACCTGCCTTGGAAACTGAAGGATAATGAAAATAGAACAGCACTCAGAATTTTGCTTCTTTAGCTTTTTATTTCCTCACTATAAACTAGAAGTAATGATTTGAAAGCAAATATTAGCAGTATAGAGCAGGTATACATAAAAATAAAATGAAAAAAACCCCTCCCAAATCTATTAAAAATAATAATAGTTATATTTTATTTAAATTATTTTGCTTTGCATTTCAGGGGGAGCAAAGATAAGATTTTTGTTGTTAAGATTAATCCTTACATGTCTGATAAACTGATTACAGTTGGAATTAAACACATGAAATTCTGGCGGAGAGCAGGTAAGAACACTTTTCAGAATCAGAGCATTTTCTGTTACTGACAGTACAACTATTGCATTTCTTGCAACAATATGAAGTGTCAGGTCCTGAAGGACTTGTGTTATACCACATGAAGGTTCCCTGTTTTGTTTCATACTGTTGTAATGATATAAATCTGTCTTTCTAGCCAGAGGTTTCCATGTGCTATAGCTGCCAAATTATTTTAGATATAAAAGAATTACAAAATTTATATATCTAACATTTCTATAATCCATAGACTACTATAAGCAAACGTCTAAAATAAAGTTAGAAATCCTCTCACTGAACATCATGAAAAGAGTAGGATGTGAAGATCTAAACTTTTTTTTTCTTTCCAGACAATTCATTAGTAGTTTCTATAAACTGTGTGTGGCAGATGTTAATTTTCTTGTTTAGATGCAAGTTTACAAATACATTTTGTCTATATAAGTCTAATGTGCGTATTCAAATACAGATTCAAGTAGTAAGTTAAAAGTAAGATTGGGTCTTCTGGATTTTATTTTTTTAATTTTTTTGTTTAGTTCTTTTTTTTGTTTTTTTGTTTGTTTTTTTTTTTGTTTGTTTGAGGTTTTTTGTGGGTTTTTGGGATGTTTGGGGTTTTTTTGTTTATTTTTTTTTTATTGTAGTGAAAGGTGACAAATAATAAAATTTATTTTGTGAGATCTCTTCTCAAGCTTATTTTTTGGGGGAGCATGGGTGGACTAAAATAAAAGGACTTTTTGCTCTGGAAATGGTTATATGGTTATATAGTTCTATATTCCAAGCAGATGTCTAATGACTTGTTTTTGGTCTGAACCAGGAGGAGGACTAATTGGGAGAAAGGGCTGCATAGGTGCATTGGGAAGAACTGACACAATGATGTGTGCAGTGTATGGCTGGACAGAAGAGATGGCATTCTCTGGAACCTCCACGGGGGATGTGTGTATTTGGAGAGATGTGTTTCTCATAAAAACTGTCAAAGCACATGATGGTCCTGTGTTCAGCATGCACGCATTGGAAAAAGTAAATAAACTGCTCATTGCTTTTTTTATGTCTGGACAAAAAAGTCTATGATAAAGCTAAACTTTTCCCAGACTCAGGAATCCATCCATCATTATTTTCATTAAAGAAAAGCCTTGTGTGGTCCAAACTCAAAATAGTGTTTTATACCTTAGTGCAAAATAGTGTTTATGCGGTCTCTTATTCTAGTTATGTAGCATGCTGTTTCTCAATCCCTTGTGGTCAGTGACATCTTTTTCAGTAATTTTCATAACCTCTTACTAAAGAAATAACAGTAACTGATTTAAGCATCAGGAAGTTCAATGGAATATGTGAGCTTGTGAGAGAGGAAGAAGACCACTCTTGTACTATTCTGTGCTGTAATTACTGTCTACCCATAGACAAATTCAATCAGCAGATCATTAAGTACTTTCTCCAGGTTCTTGGCTTCTTTTTAGCCCAGGAAAGCCTTTAAGCATGTGCTTAAATATGGATGAGTGTTCCAGTTAGATTATTTGTGTCTTTAAAGTTTTGCATATGTTGGTTTTGCTAGGTTAGACCAAGTCACTCCACCTCCCAATATCTGCATTTCAGAAAAGTAGTGGTGGACAACACGTGCTATTCATACTGCAAGAGCTGAGTGCTCTGAAGGATAGAACTAATGATTTCAGTATTAACCCCATACCTGTTGCTTCTTTAAATACCTGCATATAATTTTTAAAGGCAGAATGGCACAAATGTTCATATATTTGAAAAATATAAGCACTAATCAAATTTTTGCAGTACTAAGTCTGGTTTTGAGTAATGAGAAGAAATGCCAAAGGGATATGGAGGCTAAATATCAAGGAAAACACTATAGTATGTTGGTTATCTTATTTTTCTAGAATGGTAGAAGCATCCAGGTTAGAACTTCTAAATCCAGCCTGTGTACATGCACTGTACAGAACTGTGCTGCCTTCATTGGGAGGAGAAATCACTCATTTTGTTGCTCCTGTTCTTTTCATCTTTAACATCTGTAGCTCTGTGCATTACACTGTTGTATTATAGTCCATTTTCAGTATTGGCAGAAATCACTGAAAAATTAAGGAAACATAATAATCAATTATAACTAGTGATTTTTATTTCTTTCCCCCCAGGGATTTGTCACTGGAGGAAAGGATGGAGTAGTAGCTCTGTGGGATGATACTTTTGAACGCTGTCTCAAAACCTATGCCATCAAAAGGGCTGCTCTGGCTCCTGGATCCAAAGGTAACACAGACTTTATGCTATGTTTTGTTCTATTTTTAAAGTACTTTCTTTCAAATCTTTGTGAAATTGCTTTCTACAGTAAGAGGGAATCCACATTTGACATAATGAATACTAAAATATATTTTTTTAAGCTTTATTGATTCTAAATAAGAAATTTTTCTATTGGTACAAGGAGTCGTGTATTGTAGGGTCTGTTTGCTCATTTGGTGGGTGCAGGTCATAACATTTATTTTACAATTAGCCTAAATTAATTGATCTAGCTGTTCTTATCATCCAGGTGTTTTCTTGCTTTGTTTTGTTTTTATTAAAGTGGCAAGCAAAAAGTCTATTATATTTCTGGTCATGAAATCTCTTACCTGATCTTACGGAGAAAGAAAGGAATTCAGAACTGTGGTTAGTTTTGTAAGGTATTTGTAGTTAATTTTCTGTAAATGTATATGTCTTTTGAAGTAATTAAAGAACATTTTCATTCCTATTTTTACCTGTTTATACCACTTGTTCTTGATCTTAATGCTAATTTATTGTTCCCTGTATTTTCATTCTGGATAGCTTTTTCTCTTCCATCCCCTTTCCTTAAAATTATGTTTGCTGTGTCCTACAGTACACAATATGATTTTCAAACATGATGAATGTAAATACTCATTAATGAAAACATTCTACTCCAGAGTGTCACATTCTCATAGTTTGTTTACAAAAAGCTAGAATTGGAGGTACCATAACTGTTAGCAATTGGTGTAATGGTTAATACTTCACGTGCACAGTCAGGGTGATTAAACTTCTTGATGCATTTCTAAATCCTCCCAAATGAATCCAGACACGTTGCTTCATGCAGGAATGTTTTCAGTGTTTTTTACTGAGTAGATTTTTCTACAGTGAGAATATCATGTGCATAAGTGTGAAAAATCCTCTTTAAGGCATACTTGAGAATCCTATCTTCTAACATTTTAATGTTCTAGGTCTCCTCTTAGAAGATAATCCTTCTATACGTGCCATATCGTTAGGACATGGTCATATTCTAGTGGGCACAAAGAATGGTGAAATACTGGAGGTAGATAAAAGTGGACCAATAACTCTGCTGGTTCAGGTAGGTGTTAAATATCAGTCAAATATGTCATACTACAAAAATTATTTTATTTTTCAAGTAAAGACTTGTGTGATAAGAAGCACTTCAACTACTAATGAATCACTTTTAGTTAGACTAGACCATTATGACTCCTTAATGAGCAAGACAGAACATAGAATTTCATTACTAGTTTGTTCAATGAGTTCATCCTTCCAAACAGACCAAGATCACAGATCTGTTTTGAAAAAATAAGAAAAGTGTATGAAATAGTGGGTCCTCCTCCAAATTCCTTATTAACTTCTCCTGAGCACTAATTACTCTTATTTTTAAAAATTGTCTCCTTGGCATTTGTTTTGAGAATTTACTTGTAATTATGTAAAAAAGTTTTGAAATACCAAACTGCATTTTTTTAAGCTTGACTACAAAACAGATTTTCACATTGCATCAACATAGTATTTTTGTTCATAGTTAAGTAAAAATCTCTGGATTCTCTCCTTTCTGAGTGGCCAGTGCAGTACATATAGAACTGTATTTGTTAGAAGAAAATATTAGAACCTGAGGTAAAGAAAAAACCTAGTTCATAGAATAGTTTGGGTTGGAAGGGACCTTTAAAGGTCATCTTGTCCAAACCCCCTGCAGTAATCAAGAACATCTTCAAACAGATCACACTATTCAGAGCTCCATCCAATCTGACCTTGGACGTTTCTGGGGATGGGGCATCTGCAACATCTCTGAGCAAGCTCTCCCAGTGTTTTACTGCCCTTGTCATACAAAATTTCTTTCTTCTATCTAGTCTGAATCTACCCTCTTTTACCTTAAACCCAATATCCTTGTCCTGTCACTACAAGCCTTACTAAAAAACATCCCCCCTATTCCTCATAAACCCCCTTTAAGTACTGAGAGGCTGCAACAAGGCCTCCCTGAAGCCTTCTCTTCTCCAGACTGAGCACCCTCTCCTCTCTCAGCCTGGCTTTGTAGGAGAGGTGTACCAGCCTTTCTGTGGCCCTCTTCTGGACCCATTCCAACAGGTCCACGTTCTTCTGTGCTGAGGACTCCAGCGACAGACAGTACTGGAGTCTGACCAGAGTGGAATAGAGGGGCAGAATCACCTCCCTTGACCTGCTGGTCACATTTCTCTTGATGAAGTCCAGGATGCAGTTTGCTTTCTGGGTTGCAAGTGCACATTGCCAGTTTGTTGTCCACCAAAACCTCCAAGTTCTCTTCAGGGCTGCTCTAAGTCTGTTCTCTTCCCAGCCTGTGTTTGTGCTTAGGATTGCCCTGACCCCCATGCAGGACCTTGCACTTGTTGAGCTTCATTGCATGGTTCCACCTGCCAGGCCTGTCCAGGTCCCTCTGGACAGATCCCCTCCTCCCTCCCTGCAGCGAGTTGAGCACACTGCTCGGCGTAGTGTCACCTGCCAACATGCTGAGGGTGCCCTCAGTCCCACTGTCCTTGCCAATGGCATACATGTGTGTGAGGATCATTTTGCAGAAGTTTTCTGTAGAACAAATTATTACAATTTTGCACGAGTAGCAGAGTGAATTTTTTCAGGCATTCTGTGTTTTTATTCAGATATTTATTATCTTCTAAATAATGCATGTTTTTTGGTTTTTTTTTTTTACTTTTTTAAATGTATTGTTTCATATTTAAATTTAAAGTAAAATTTGATTAATTGTGTTTTTTCAGGGTCACATGGAGGGGGAAGTTTGGGGTCTAGCTACTCATCCTCATTTACCTATTTGTGCCACTGTAAGTGATGACAAAACCTTAAGAATATGGGATTTATCTCCCAGCCATTGTATGTTAGCTGTTCGCAAATTGAAAAAGGGTAAGATGCTTAGTATGAAAAAAATATTTACTGATGCAATTGACATTTACAAGCATTATGAATCTTTTGAAAGCAGAATAAATTACTTTCTTTGCTCAAATTATTTTACCAATGCTATGTTCATGAGTTATGCAGCCCTTAAGGTAATGAATCTGTACAAAAAATTGCATAGTACTGTTCTGAAGATTATTTGCAATTGTAACTTATTTAAGTCAGTGAATTAATAATAAAAGTTAAATTTTTGGAAGAAATCTTAGAAGAAATGTTGACATTTTCTTCTTTCTGAGTACTTGAAGGATCCAGAATGTCAAGGAAAGAGAAGTCATAAAATTTTTACTTATTGTTTAGGATATAATTAAATCTATTTTGACAGATGGAAAATCTGTTTTAAGTGACATCAAATAAGGTGATTTGTTAAGGATTAGATGAGACTGGCCCTGACAAGCTTCTAATGCTGTATATGCTTTGCTAGATAAAGGAATACAGTAGGCTTTATCTGTTTGGCATTCAGCAATTCAGTTTGATTCAAACATAATGGGAAGCTTAATTAAAGATGATCTAGACTGACAAAGTAAATGTAGATGCTCACACGAGCAGGGATTAAACAAGAAAGTTCCTAGCTGGTGAACTCTGCTCAAGTCCTAAAGCTGATATTTCTTACTATTTTTAAGAGTATTTTTGCTGAAAATCTTCTCTGATGACTATTTGCTGATGAGACACATTTTGAAATGCTTTGGCAATTTTAAAAGTTCCTGTGTACTGTCAAGAAAAAATGGATACTTCTGCAAACTGAGTAATGGAATTGAAATAATATTTATTAATGATAAAGGGCAAGACCCAGTGACTGTAAGAAGAATGTCTGTGTAGGTCAGGAGTAACTTAAAGAGCAGAAGGCTCAGGATGTTGATGAGTGCAGGGTGACAATTACATGTGATAGTGAGGTATTTTTCCCAAGACATATAGCAGTGCTCATGTAAATTACAAGACAAAAATCAGGATATTTTTGGCATGCTTTTCCCATCTGTGTTCAGCTGAATGCAATTAAAGTAAAAATTGGTAATGGAGAAAGGAACTACAGGATAATGAATGCAAAGTCTTGTGGTGAAGCCATCTAAGTAAAGGCTTGCTGTCTGCAAGTTAATCAGAGGAACAAATAGTAGGGGAAAATATTTATATTAACAGAAAGGTCTGGCATGAAAATAAACTATATAAGTTGACCAGATATAAATTTAAATTGGAAACTACACTGTTTTTCAAACAACACTTGGCATATTTATTGGAAGGATTCTATGGCTTAGTGTCTCATTGTGATAGCAAATACCTGAATTCTGTGAATCCATAGATTCTTTTCCAGCTGTGTTCTTCTATCAGAGCAAATGGGAACAAACAGGCAGCTCCAGATACAGAGAATGAGGTCAAGTTAAAAATATACAGACAATAGTGATTAATTTGTATTACTAATGTAGAACAGATGTCAATTAATATGCAAATTCTGAGATAATGGGCCTGTGTACCTGTTCGTATGCTATCACAGCTTGGAAATCATTTTGGTGACATCTGGAAAACTTCCTTAGAAGTTTTATAGTATAAGAATAGCTTTCCTTTACTAATGGAAAAATAGATCTGATAGAAGGATAATGCACTGTAAATGTATCTGAATGCAATTTCTTTATTTCTCATAGGAGGCAGATGTTGCTGCTTTTCTCCTGATGGAAAAGCATTAGCTGTTGGTCTCAATGATGGAAGTTTTTTGATAGTTAATGCAGATACTCTGGAGGATTTGGTCTCTTTCCAGCACAGGAAAGATGTTATTTCAGAAATCAGATTTTCTCCTGGTAAGTGATTTCTTTTTAGATTTTTTTAGATGCAAATTTTAGTATCAAGGCTGTTCAAGTAAGGCTTATCACATTTAAAAGATAAAAGTTAAGATTTTTAGTACTTTTAGATGTAAAAAGTAGGTCAGCAAAACTAATACTAACATTTTGAAAGACCATGGTGTAAAGTCCTGTGTTGCTTGTTTAAGGATGAGATTATTGGAATAAGTTTGCTTAGAGTAACCTCCTGAATATTGCAGTCAGTTTTAAATCATGAACATCCAGCAGCTCCCTAGGGCTCCACTTTATGAGCTGGATAAGTTTGGCACATCACTGAAGTTACTGTTAGCTAATAAGAGCACTTGAAACTGATGTGCCAGAAACTTCTGCCAACTTTTTTTTCTTATTTTTTCCCCCTTAGCACTCCCAGTGAGGCTATGTTTTTTTCCAACATCATAGCAAATATTTTAGGAACCCAAAATGTGCAGCCTGCTTCAGTTTAAATACTCATCTGTTGCAGAAATTTGATGCAAATTACTGATAGCAATTCTCATACAACATTGTTTTCTGGTTCCCTAAGCCTTACCATTCTCTGAATGCCATAAATGCTTAAAATTTCGGCAAATAGTTTTTATTGTTTGAAACTGTAATGATATCATAGTTGTATGTTTCATGCTGATTATGGGATATGAAAATCAGTTTTTTGGGGAATATGTATAAATTAGCAAGGCAAGCTGATGTCATAGAATTCAAAGATGCCTATAGCTAAATTCCAGAATTTACTTGTATTTAATATGCAGAGCATTTTGAAAATGTTTTGTGTTTGTACTGATGTGTTTTAGGGGCTGGAAAGTACTTAGCTGTAGCATCCTGTGAATATGCAGAGCATTTTGAAAATGTTTTGTGTTTGTACTGATGTGTTTTAGGGGCTGGAAAGTACTTAGCTGTAGCATCCTGTGACAACTTTGTAGATATTTACAATGTAATGAGCAGTAAAAGAGTAGGAATCTGCAAGGGAGCCTCCAGCTATATCACGCACATGGACTGGGACATAAGAGGTAAGCAGCATTCATCGTAAAAATATACTGGAAGATTGATTACATTATAGACTAATAAAGTACATGTATAGTATGGATTTGTGGTGTCACTGACAGATTTGATTCTTCAGCTTACGAATATGCTCTCACAGCATCTGAAGAAGTATTAAGCCCATGATTTTTACTGCAGAATGCATATTTAGAAGTAGTGCGATTTGAAGTAAAATGGTTTGTCTCTATAGATCGGTTTGTTTGGATTTTTAAAAAAATCTTTCCTGTGTATCATTTGACTTCACAAGGACAATTAGTGATGGAACAAGGGGGAAGGGCCTTAAGCTGAAGGAGGATATGTTTAGATTAGATATTAGGAAGAAATTCTTTATTGTAAGTGGGGAGGCACTGGAAAGGGCTGCTCAGATAGGCTGTGAATGTCCCATCTCTGAAGGTGGTCAAGGCTGGGCTGGATGGGGCTCTGAGCAGCTTGCTCTCATGGCAGGGGTTTGAACTAGATGGTTTTTAAGGTCCTTTCCAACCCCAAACATTCTATGATTCTAAGTTTCTAATGCTTTAATAATATACTGTACAATGTGGTAGTATCTGTAGCTCAGGAATACATATTCTTGTTGTCACACATAGTAGAATGACCAGATTTCCTCTGTTCCAGGGAGCTCCATTATTATATGGAATTATGTTCCATAATTAATATGTGATTAATTAAAATACTAAATTTAGTCCTGTTTCATTAAAAAGCAAGGCTGTGCAATATGCAATCTATTTGTTCATGTTCTTATTCTTCTACATAATCAATTTTGAAACAGTCTGATTTATTTTGAAAGAATGTTCTAAGTTAGCTTCCTTTGAGAATTTTGAAAAGGAAGAGGACAGAAACATGACTGAGAATTTCCCTCAGAAATGAACTAGTAAAAGGTGTAAAGAAGCCTTCTCCTAGGGATCAGCCAAGATCACCTCCATCCCAAGAGCACACACATCAATAGCCAGTTATCATAAACAAGCTTTGAATGACACACAGTACATTTTGTCTACTATCTGATGGGACAACCATAATAAGGAGAGAAAAATAATGAATTAATACAGTTTTCAAAGAGAGGAGAAAGGGTTGTGAATTTGAGGGGTCAAAGGACTTAGATCTCTTTAGAAGACCATACTTCCAGATCTGTTATTTATGTAAGCAAATAATTAATGCAATGCTGTTAGCAGTAAAAACTTCAAACTAAGCTTTCTTTTTTCCTTCTGGAAAATGGAATCTTCTATGTTAACATACAATGTGTATGTCATATGTTTTATAGGAAAACTTTTGCAAGTCAACACTGGTGCTAAAGAGCAGTTGTTTTTTGAAGCCCCTCGGGGAAAAAAACAGACTATTCCAAGTTTGGAGGTGAGGAACTTTTACTGCTTTCTTAACTTGTTTGCTAAATTAGAGTTATGATACAGCCATATATATTACCTAAGAAGGAATAAACTTATAATTTTAAACTTTTTAAATAATATTTTTTTTTTCTTCTATTAAGAGAAACAGACATTTGACTGATTTAGTCATGAAAATCTCACTGGAATTCTGCGTGTCTTTTCTGGTACTTAAACACCTTTGAAAGCTTATTGCAGATTACTTAGTCCTCACCTTGCTGTGAAAAAGCTCATGTTTGCCTTTATATAGCAGAGTTGTTCAGTTTGCATAATACATATAGGCAAGAGTAGTATATTGCAGATATCATTTTGTTTTCTCAGGTATAGAGCAGTGTCATAGGGCAGAGAGCAAAAATGGGTAATTTCCAAATGATATTTTCCATAGTATTGAAAGGCAGTGTTGGAAAATATAACTTGTTTTCTTTACCCTGAAAGGGTAGCTAAGGTAAAAATTCTCAAAATACTTCTTTAGGTTTTGGAATTGAAAGTTCATACAAGTAAAATTACAGGTCTCAAATAAAATTCTGAATGGTAAAAAATAAGTGATTAATATATTAAAATACTTTCTTTTAGATGTATCTTTCAGTGCAAGGACTTTTTCTTGAAATTGAATATGGAAGAAAAATGCCTAAGAAGCATGCTGTGTCTCAAATGGGTTGTTTTTGTAGGTAGAAAAGATTGGCTGGGCATCATGGACAAGTGTTTTGGGCTCTTGCTGTGAAGGGATCTGGCCAATAATTGGTGAAGTCACAGATGTAACTGCTTCATGCCTCACTAGTGATAGTAAAGTATTGGCCACAGGAGATGATTTTGGATTTGTGAAATTGTTTCGATACCCTGCTAAAGTAAGTAATTTTCAGCTGTTTATGGAAAATATTTATTAATAAATCTACGTTCTCAAAGATGTGAAAATTTATCACTCAGAAGAAAATAATGCATTTATATTTTTCTCATTTTGATCAAAGAAAGGATTTAGTATTACACTGCAGTAATACTGCAATTAATGCAGTTTGCAGAGCATTAAACTTGCAAGGAGTAAGAATGATCATTCCAGGTCAGACTGTAGAGCCATCTCATGCAGTGTCCCTGCTGCTGACTGTGGCAAATTAATAGAAAAAACTTTAAGAATGAGAATGCTTTGGAAGACAATGAACATGTCTTTCTCACCTAGATTTAATTCATGATTTTAAGGACCTTCATTCTGCCCAATATTAGTAATTTTTTCCTAAGATGAAGACCTTTGATATTATTTAATCACGCATCATAGAAAAGCCATTCCAGAAGCACATGGTATTTTTCCTGCTCTTCAAGTACCTCTAGTTTTCCTGTATATTTGCTAGTAAATGTGTCTTCAATTTTGAAATGTTGCCGTGTTAAGGATGATAACAGTGCACAAGTACTGACTTAAAATATTCTGTGAGAATTTTACTCCAACTCAGATTATTGTCTTTCTTAGGAAAAGCTATCCAGTGTTTATTGCTGGAATCTGTTTATAAACTAAAGTTCTTTCATGCTTGATATGAAGATAAAGTTAACATTTCATGAAGTTGCTATAGGAAGGGCACTTGGCAAATCGTGTTACAATCATATGAAATATGGAACAGCTGAAGCATGAGCTGTAAAGAACATGATGTCATTGTCCACTGGCAACTCATTTCAGTTTTGTCTAGCAGACTGCATGAATTTGATTTTTGCCTTCTTTTTCCCCTCCTTAGGGAAAGTTTGGGAAGTTTAAGAGGTATGTTGCTCACAGTACCCATGTGACAAATGTCCGCTGGACCTACGATGACAGTTTGTTGGTCACTGTTGGAGGAGCAGACACCTCCTTAATGCTGTGGACCTATGAGATGGAAGGACATCGGGATAGCAGGCAGTGTGACAGTGAGGAGTCTGATCTAGATTCTGAAGAAGATGGAGGTCAGTAATAATTTATACAACTAGCTGGATTATGCTATTTCAAGAAGACTTTATTAATGGAAAACTATGAATTTAGAAATAATTTATGGATTTTTTTCTATCTTAAGTAGCAAATACTCCTGAAAAATGTTAAATAAAATTTGGTTTTGGGGAAAGGACTGCTGTGTAGAAGATGATAATGAAGTGTTTGAGTTACTGCTTTGAGTCAGAGTACATAAACAGATTCTTGATACCTTTTAAATGAAAAAAATTAGGTATCAATTATACATAGCTAAATCTATATTTAAAATAGAATCATCACGGTTTACATTTGGTCACTAATTCTAAAGAAATTATATTGAAATCTGTATAATGTGAGATCATACTTATCTTGATGCAGTAGCATCTGCTTCCATAACATGGAAGCATAGCTGATATAAGTAGACTGATGTTTATACATCTAATTCAAGGTCATAGCATCAGTGGTTACAAAGTGTTAATTCTATCTTGTAGCATTAACAACTTCTGCTTTTTCCATACTTACGTTTTCTTTCTCACGTTATAAGTCCAAGGGTTTATGAGCCTCCAGGCTTGTTTTCTCTTCTCCCAAGTGCAGTTTTAGCTCCTTTTCAATTCCTCAGTGTTCAAGCATTTTTAAACTATCACTGCTACTCATTAAATAGTTCCGTGTAATAAATTAACTTCAGGTGTCACTAAAGCATGCTAAATTACCAAAGAACTACATTAAATATTGGAGACATATTAAACATTTATTGGAAAATGATTTTTAATCACCATCTCTCTTAAAAGTACTGAAGAGGACATTCACAAAGTAAATTAAATGCCTATAGGAGGACTCGTCAGCTTTAACTTTCTTAGTCAAAAACTGCAATCTTCAAAGTTTCTGTTCAACCTCTGTTTGAGACCTGCTATAACATCTTAGCCCTATAATCTTCCCTAGGCTCGGCTGCTTTACACAGAACCCTCTTAAGCTGTATGTTCAAAAGTACTCTAAAAGAGAGCAAGGTCTGTGAAGATTTACAGGAAAAGACATTGACATCTTTATCCACAGAAGTTTCTCTTGGTCAGGTCCTGTTAATTTCAGAGTTAAGACATATTCACATTGTTGGCATTAGTAGTCTCTATCTTTGAAAAAACTAAATAATGGAGAGTAAGTAACAACCCGGTCACAACTTAGCTTTTCCCAATATTTATTTTACTATAATAAACATCATCTTGATGTGCCTTACTGTCCCTAAGCACTGTGTAGGGACCTTGTGCAGACCTATAGATTCCATAGAAATGGATGGATCCTGGAACCGAGGACAACCAGGCATTGAATCTTACAGGTCTTAAGAGCAGGTGTCAGGTAGCGAGGTTCTTTTTTAGTGATTGTGGTTATAGCCAACCAAGCAGAATTGGGGTAGCTTTTAAAGCCCCTTGACTCTTTAATAGTTTTTTTTCCTCAAAGATATTGTAGGGAAATCTTTTTTTTAATGTTTTTTATTAACAGTGTTCATTATTCCCAGCTACTTTCTTCATGTTGTGTATTTATGTTACTAATAATCCATGCTATCATTGCTTTTGTAATTTAGTACATTGCTGAAATCTGTACAATTTAAGATTACATTGTTGTTCTTGTACCTTATTTTGGTTTGATACTCTTCCCTCTGGTTTTGTTAGGTTATGACAGTGATGTGACAAGGGAAAATGAAATTAATTACACCATCAAAGCCTTATCAACAAACATTAGACCAATGTTTGGAATTAAGCCTCATCTGCAACAAAAGGAGCCAACCTTAGATGAAAGGTAATTACTAAATTACAATTCTAGAAATCAACCAAGAAAAGATAATAGTACAAGAAAATTATGTTGGAATATATAATTCTTAACTTAAAAGAGTATGATAAAAATAAATAATTCTTTGAAGAAAAAAAAAATTGTTAGTAATGGCATTATAGGCATGAGCCTGTACAATTGTTTTAGTGAAGGACAGCTCTCCATTTTTTGGTTCTTCCAACAAACTGCTCTGATGAATTTAATTCTAATTGCTTCTTGCATTGCTTCAGTCTCCACATAATTTCTACCTTTCTTTGACAAATTCTGTCCACAGTGGTTCTGCAGTTTTTGTTTTTTGTTAATGAATCTTGGAAAATGAAGTTGGCTGCTTTGCAGTGTTAGTTTTATATCTTTGTTCACTATTGTGTGCTTTAGAAGAGAATGGGATGGGGAGCAGACTACAATAAACCCAGAATATAAAGTAGATGAAAAAGAACAAAAACAATTTATAACCTCTAGAATATTATCTGTTGTAGAATCTGCAGCTGAGCACAGGACCCTGGAAGTTGTTTGTTGTCCATAAACTAGATGTGGACTGTATTTGTGGGGAAAAAGGCAGGAGAGATTCCTAATACAGCAATTGGGGAATGCTAATACTGAAGAGAGGGAAGCAAGGAAAGCAGGAGGATGTAAAAGGGTGTAAGGATGTGGTGAAATAGGGGAGTAGAAATTTCTGCAGGAATGTGAGGAGGTCTGGGGCAATGCTCAAGCCTCGTTCCACAGTGAAGCTGGACAGGTCTGTGATACCCTTGTTGGGAAATGCAGCGTGACTTTTGTAGGAGTTTCATATCATCTTTTTGTTCTAAGTTGTGTGCTGTAGGAGAGAGTGAATAAAGACTGTGTATAAAGCTGTGGTTCCCTGTCTTGCATTTATGAAAGGTGGTCTTTCTCTTTTTTAATGTGATGTATTTGATGTGGAAATCAAAAAGAAATAATGTGCAAGGTATGAAAACTTTAATTAAAGATTTTTTTTCTTTTAATGAAATTGTAAACCTCTTGTGTTTCTATCAATAACTGTTTCTGGAAATTGAGTGAACCGTGTTTTTCAGTTTCAGATAAATTACTAAAAATTAATTCTGTAGTAAGGTAATTAAATTGTGACTCAGTATGCAAAAAAAGTCATGAAAGAATTCCATTATCTGCATTGTTGAAAAGTTTGGGGCCCTAAGACTTGAAAGAAATTTTTTTTGTGAAGAATAAAACCAGACTATGGTTACTGTATGTATTTTAACTTCTGTTCTGATGTTAGTATTGTGTAAGATTGGTAAATGTTTTAGTCTACTGTCATAGATAATAATTTTGATTTTCTATTGATTCTTTATTTTTGCTTCCTATGAAGGCAGGGGGTAGTAAGGTAAGTTCATGTACATGAAGTCCAGGATTAAATGCATTTTAATAACTTAAGCTGCATGGGAAAGTAGTTACAATTTGCAAAAGAAGTGAAGTTACCTCTTTAATAGTAAAGAGTAGCTTGTTAATGGGTAGAAAAGGGTTAAGGGACAAAACATAAGTGCAGTTCTAACTCTGAGTTGACATGAGTGAACGCTGGAGTATTTGGGAGGAGGTGATCAAACCTTATCCTCCTTTCCTCAATATTTTGGAGTGGCTAAGGAGCAGCTTGACTTCATGTCTGAGAGCTTGTCTAAGTGCTTGCAGCATCAGGCTGGAGCCACTAAAGCTTCGTGGGTGAAGGGAGCATTCCTGCCTTGGCTGCAGCATTTGCCAGTGCACCTGTGCTGCTCGAGGGTCTGGGCTGCTGCTCCACCTCGTGTTCATAGGGGAGCCCCTGGGGTAGGTGCCTGCATTAGGCTATGAACTTCTGCACCTGCTCTATTTAGAATATATACATATACAAAAATGTGCTGTGAAATCTGCAGCACGACAAATCCTCGGGCCAACCTGCAGACTTGTGGACTGAGCTGCCCCTGTGGAGTCAAGATCTCATTCAGATTCAGTTGGTCTAAGGTTTGTTTGCAGCATTAAACACCAGCTCTACTAATGAAATTCTATTCTATAGCAGTGAAATTACCATGCTATATCATTGAAATTGGAATACTTTTTTTAACTTTTATGGGAAACACAATGGCACTGCTGTGAGGCAGCACTTAGGTCTGTAATTTGAATTATTTATCATTTCTGAATAATAATGTTTATAGAAAATATTTTTATGTGAAAAGATGAGTACTGTGTGTGTAATTTGGTTGTGTAATAGCATTATGGATACTCAGCAGCACAAAATACATTTGAAAATGGTTTCTATCCTTTACTAAGAATTCTTTCCTAGTACATTTTTGTGCTAGGTAAATTACTCAGAAAAAAAGTCTAGCATGGTTGAGTTTGAAAATGCTTCTGACTCAGCTACTCCCTGAACTGTGCAGCACTGAAGGTTGGGAGGTGCCTCTGGAGTCTAATGCTCCATTCTTACTCTGTTCTTACACTCCCTGAAGCTGGCTATTTGTGGCTGTGAAAAGGGCAGTGCTGTGATTAATGTACCTTACAGACAAATGGCTGTACCAAGAGATCTCAAAATTAAACAACCAGGAGCTTCAGTAAAATTTTACCACCATCAGTTTTAAAGATTTGCAAGCAAATAAAACCATATCTTACTCCATGTGCTGAGATCTCTTGCATGAAATGACCCCTGCAGCTTATATATTTTGAAAATTCCTTTCCTGTTCTGCATACGTTCCCAGATATAACTCACAACCAGGTGTTGTGGCAAAACTGCCTCTGATTAAATGAATTAAAAAATTAGTTTTATTCTTGAGCATTTTTTGTGTGTATAGTTACATATTGACAGATGCAAAATTAGCTTATTTTAGATCCTTATGTATTCAAAATGGGAAGCAACCTAAAAAGTATTTACAAACTACTCCTTCACAGGTTGACAAGGGAAGAGTTTCTTTTGTATTCAATACACACAGTAAATAAATCTGAACTTTGCTTCCAGTGGAATGAGAGAGGAAGGGAGCTATTGAAATGAAACATTTTTAATCCAAAGCTCACAACTATCTCCTTGTAATTGCCACTGAAGGAGAAATTCTGAGATTTAATACAGACAGCTTCCATATATATTTTGGATAAATGAACACAATGCAATTCCACTTCTGTTTACCAGTCTAGTGACTTGTGATGTGAATATAAATAATACAAATTCCAGAGCTCTTTTTGTAAAAAATCATCTTTATTTTCTTTCATTTTGTAAACTTGTGTGATTTGGGAGAGGGGGGAAGCCAGGAGTAAAAATGAAAAGGGAAAAATAACAACTGACTTTACACCAGCAGCTTCTTCTCTCTGCTTATCATATTTGTAGAATAAATTAGATTACAAAAATTTTTTAATTTAACATTAACTTAAAAAAAACCCCGGTTTTAGAAAATAGGGGTTTTTTAAGCCAGCTTTTTTGTCCATTGGAATGTACACTAGTGCAGAGCATTAACCTTGGGACTGAAAACCCTGAAATTTCAGAAGTCATTCTTTCCAATCATAAGTTTAGTTATTATTAGTTACGTATTTTGCAAACTGTAGAGTGGAACAATATGATGGAAAAGAATGGTCTCCCTTTACTAGTTTGAGGTAATTACTTTTTCCTCTCAGAGGTGAGCTAAAACCCATGCTTTGAAGAAGTGAAAAAGCCAGTTACTGAAGTATAAAGGCTTATCAAATAATCTCAGTTTTGAATTCAAGAAAAAAAAAATCTCTTCACTTTGCAACTAAAAAGGAAATGTCTAGAGAAATGATTGCATGGCCCTGTGATGAGAGTTGAAAGATTTGCATTTGGTTTATGATCTGTGTAGATTGGTTTTATCAACAGAATCCAAGTAGTCCTTGCTTTATTGTGAAAAATATCTGGAGGTATTTGAATTTTGTACTCCTTGAAGAATTGCATGCTATTGACTGCAATATTAGGAAATAATCTGTACATGCCTGTATGCTGTAATCATTAATAATGGGTTTTGGTTAGACAAATTATATAGCCAAAATAGAGGAGTATTTCATCATAAATGACTGAGGAAACCTATCCAGTGCAAAGTATCTTCAATCAACATAAACTGAATTAAGTAGTCATGAAAAAATAGTACATATCAGTACCCCACACATTCTGATTAGCTGAGATAATTTTAGTTTACTATAAATGAATGTATTTTTGTGACTGAACTTGAACATCTGTATTTAATAGTGAGTTGACTGTTTCATCCATCAGCTTATTTCAGGAAGTTAAACCTGCACAACTTGTCTTTGAATTAGTCAGGTGTTGTGTTTTCTGACTCTAGACCCTTGGTATAGTTCAGAGGATTTTGGTTCTGCTTCTGCTTTTTTTCTCTATTTACAGTAGAGTTATTCCAAAGAATTATATTCTCATGCAAACATGTGTTCATAATTCCCATTTAAGTGAATGGGAGTTTTCTCTACAAATAATAGATTTATATAGTCTATGAAGTGAATAATCCCCTTGTAAAAAGAAGTATACAAACCAGGAAGTCAGCAATAATTACCTATATGAATAATTCACTGGCACATAAATTTCAGCCAAACTTGTATAAGTAATCCTTTTCTCTTTCCCATCTGCTGCTGAAAAGAGGTTCCAGGTAATGCTTTTATTTTCTTATCTAGCTCATCTTTTACTGCCACCTCCCATTTATTTTCCTTAAAAGCCATCTGTCATGGTGGGTGCCATACCATGTACCTATCACTCTTCAGAATATTGCTGTATGAAAAACCTGAAATTTATATATATTCATTGTAGTTCTGTTTCATACAATAAGCTAGATAGTTTTACCTACCAATATGAACTCAAATTCCATGAACTATTACACTTTCCTGTGTTTCACAAGTAGTATTTTTCAGTAATATTTATAAAAAATAGAAAGATTAGCCCTCTTTCCAGCCCCCTAGTGGAAAGCTGTTTTGCATGTGATGATTTGACAGTCTCACCTGACATGTCAAGGTGTATATGCTACTAAATTATTTAAGCATTAGATTCCCTGTATCTGCATTAGTGAGTATAAACTGGCAACTGCTGCTCATAGGACACATGACAATAATTATAAGTAATTTTTGTCAAGAAGTAGTATTTTGAAACTATCAGCCTTCATTATCTTCTAATGGAAATCAGACCTCTGTAAAGTGTAACAAATGACTTTGAAGAACTTGCCAAGGGTAAATGGAAAGAAGTCCTCCTTACTTTTAAAATTAATTTTATGCTTGCCTACCTTTTGGGGAGGGCAGTGCAGGACACTTCATGCTGAAGAGTAGTGCAAAATCAGTTGCTAAGTTCTCTGCAAGTCCCACTAAGTATAAAGTGCAACTTTGGTGCCCCACACAGGAAGGGAGTTTTTCTTCTGTACCAGCAACTGTAATTTGCTCTATGAAATTGTGCCCAAAATAATACTTGTATTTTTAAATCAGAAATAAATATTGTAAATCACGCTGTTATAAGTTACCACAGATGTCAAAGAATTGGTGGTGATTTTACATATAACAGAAAATCATTCCTTGTTCTGTTTAGTAACTTTAGATACTCAGTAACAATAAAGAAAATATGGAATGAAATACATCATACAAAAATGGGTAGTAAATATTTAAGCTATGTCTGAAACTGTGAACACGGTATTTTTGTGTTTCAGAAACTACTTCAAAGTGCTTGTACTCAATTTTTATGGTATCATAACAAGAAATATTAAAATATATATACCAAATCTATTTTAATGTTGAAAATAAAGTGCCAATATTGAGGCATTTATCTCCCTTATGATAGATGGCTGGAGCTCTCCTTCCCCATGCTAAAACTGACCTATCCATACGTGAATTCACCCCAACATGTTATTCGTGCTCTCCTTCCCACCTTTTCCACACAGTTTTTGAGCATGCAGTTCTGCGTGCAGGTGTATGTCCACTGTGCATTGTATATGCCATTAGTCACTTTGCTGCACATTACATAGCAAATCTAAAATATTTTCAGCTTTCACACCTTTAGAAAAGGACTTGGAAAATGTATTCTCATATCCTTCAGCACTCCTGTTTTTAAATGCTTGTTGTTATCTTGAAACTTAATTGGGAAGAAAATACATGCATACTTGTAACTTCCAGTTCCACTGCTGTGGATCAATATAGAATTAGTCTTTCCTGGGCAGACACTTAGATAAATTGTTTAGGTGACCTGTGAGATAATGCAGATGAGTAAAACTGTTCAAGTTTTCCTGACCAATGTACATTCACTTTATTCTGTTGTGTGGTAATGGACAAATGTGAATGTACTCTAATGATTACTTAAGGATGATATCAACCTGCATTTGTATCTGTAGAGCCTTTAAGTACAGATGATCTTCTCAAGCAGTTGTAAAACGTGAGATTGTTTTAACCCTTCTCCCATTTATCTATCTCAAATCTATCACAAGGTGTTTAAAGACAGCGAATGTTATAAAAATGCTGTGTTCTAGAACCAAGCAGCAGAGAAATATTCAGTTCCAGTAACATAAACCTCTGTTGGAACCATGTCCTTTCAGTTTTTACTGCTTTCTTCAAACTTCAAATATGTTCTGCTATATTTAATTTTTCTCTTTTTCTTTCCCCTCCAACTCATTTTTCCCTCTGTGTCACATGGACATAAGTGAATTAGGACCAGGGTAGGAGAGGAGGAAAGAGACAAGGTTTGAGTGTTCTGGGTCAAATACGAGGCTGACAAGTGGAAGAAGGGCTTTTTATGCTGTGTTTTGGTAATTTCTAGAGGAACAGTAATGAGGCTGTTTCAGAGTTTTCAATGACAAATCTGAAATTAAAATTTTAAAGTCTTTTGAAGCATTCTGGAGTGAGCTGTTTTGCACTAAGATTAGGCAGGGAAAATGAGGTAAATCTAAGAAAATGGTATTTTATTTGAATAACTGAAAAAATACTTTCCACCTGTCATTCAAAATACACAGTGTACAAACAAACCATATTCTATCATTCTGAGAAGAGACAGTCATTATTTTGAATCAAAGTCGTTACTCAAGAGCAGAGATGAGATTAGAAGCATAAAAAAGAATATGAAAGAGACCTCTTGCTTCATGTTTGATATTAGTTTATGTTACACTGCATACTGGATTAAATCATCTGGATATCACTGAATTTGTACATAGAATTTATTTTTAAATTAAATTTTCCTCTTAAAGATCAAGCTTAAATCACAGCCAGAAGTGCTGTATCTATAGAATACATATAGATCTATAGGTAATCAATGCTCCTGCAAATTACTAGGAATAGTTGCATATATTCAATAAATAAAGCTTATTTGTGTGTTTCTTTGTATAGGTACAGTTGAATGTAATGTGAAAGATGTTATGGATATTTGTTAAACATATCTAATTGATATTTCTAATTAAATCTGGGCTATTCAGAACAGTGGAACATAAGTTATGCAGCATGGTCTTGGTTTACTTCCATGTAAGCTTTGATCAGTATCTCATTTCAGTTGTGTAACAGTGAATGGGCAGGTGCATCTGTTCTTCCTCAGAAACTATTACAAAAGTAGGAAAAGTTAGGGGTCTGCTGGAGTCATGTGGGCAGAGGCATTATTAGATTAATCAGAGAAGCCTCTAATCAGTAAAACAGCTGCAGAGAAATGAAAGTATCTTGAAAACATAGCTGGAAAAAGCGAAGAATATTATTTTAAAAGTGGTCAGTCATTTTAAAACAAGCTTTTGCATTAACCCCATGGACTGTGGAAGAATTAGAAAACCTAGCATGTTAAACAAAGGATTTTTAGGTTTTGTCTTTCTCCTTTGGCAGAGGTATTTCTTTTAAAGATGAGTATGCATGTAAGTTGAGTGTGACAGGGCTATAAGATTTCCCTATGCATTAGGAGGTTGGAAGGTACTGTTAGTATGGAATGGGTGACGGACAGCCTTCTCTTATTCACAGTTCTTTATTTCAGACCACCAGTTAGTAGGGCATTGCCACAGCCGGAGAAACTTCAGACAAATAATGTGGGGAAAAAAAAGAGACCCATAGAGGTAAGAAAAATGCTGCTCTTCTCTTCCTTTAGGATTTTGTTTTGCCAGAAATGGATACACATGTGGACACAACAAATGATTGTTTTATTCTAAGTATATCAAAGGCGGAAATGCTGAATAGCGGGTAAATAGCAGAAAAAGTGGGAGAGAAGTTTTGATTGTAAATAAAAAGAAGACTATATTTCTTTTTCTTGCAAATTAAATGGAGTATAATTCGATTCTTAATAATCATGAAACCTTAGAACTGACTGTAGTAAGCAGGATGTCTTGTTTAGATAATTGAGTTGTTAAAGGGTGTATTGTTGCTAATAAAATTAAGCATTTTTTATTACAATCTTCTTCGAATTTATTTTAAAAATTCATTAAAAATATCACTGATAAGAGTTTTAAAAATAATTTTAAAATTCTATTAATGATGAGTTTAGCTTTGGCACCTGTGGTGGCAATTGCAAATAAATATACCAATTTTTGATTAATCTGAAGTAAAAACTTCATCTAACCTTAGAAAACGCAGTTCTCTACCAACCCAAATATTGCTGATTCTGCAAAATATTTTGTGTAGCATAATAAACAGCATTTTGACATCAGCGCTCTAGAAGTTTTAGGCTGTAATTTAGGTTTCTACTTGCTGGCTGGAATTTAGATGTGGACCAGCATTTGTTATTCATTGTTTCTTAGTGTCTTCTGCGTTAAAAGAAATTTATTCTTCACTACGCTTTATTTATGTGCAAGTGTATGAGTATCTCAGTATATATATATGTCTGTGTGTATTATATGCACATTCTGCAGCATCCCCTGAGAGGTGTGAAAGGATGACACAGCTGTGAGTGACAAGAATGAGCAGAAGATTATAAAGTTCATAACTGCTTTAAGGTTTTGAATGTCCATTGATGAGGATATCTTTTTCAGGACCTAATTTTGGAGCTGGTGTTTGGGTATCGAGGCAAGGACTGCAGGAACAATGTGCACTATTTGAATGATGGTGCTGATGTAATTTATCACACTGCATCTATTGGCATCTTGTATAATGTGGCAACAGGTAGGAGAAAACCCACTGAAGGAAAAATGTTTCTTCACACACATGGAGTTACTGTTTGTAAAGTAATTAATATGCTTTAATATTGTAAAAACATGTGGAAAAAATATTATTTGTTGTTTATTGTTAATTATTTGTAATTAATTGTAATTCATTATTTATTATTAAAGTTTCAGTATGTAGAGAATATTCATAATAGCTGCATAAGCAAACAAGTGCACTAAAACGTTCCTGGTGATTGAGCTTTAAAGGAAGTAAAGATTTGGGTCTTTTGGTATTAGCTTGCTAAAATTTGCATGTTGAAATGATCAGAGAAACTAATGAACAATGAGCTGAACAATGGGCTAATTGTAATTTAAGTTTTTTTCTTTAATAATAAGTTAATATTCTATATTAACATATTTATTATATTATATAATAATTATGTATTATATACCTATTATATAATATACAATTACATTATTTATACTATATTATATATTATTATATAGAATATATATTATTTATATTAATATATCTGTATTTATATAAGTTAATATTTTTATTTGGTTTACTTTTCAGCCATCTGTATCACATACATTCCTTCCCAAAACACTCAATAAAGTGAGTTTAGATAACTTAGACCTTTATAAAAGTATGCAATGCCATTTGTTTCTGAGATAGTTAAAAACTTGATGTGGAAAACTTGAGGGCATAGTTTGGAGTTGCTGAGTGCTGTGTGTTGAAGTCAAGACAAAAAAATAAGAGTTTATGTTTTCTGGTTTTACTCTTCAAAATGCAACATGACAATAATGCTGTTTTCTAGCAAATATTATAAAATTTTCAAACATTAGCCATTTCTATGTGTGTAGAAATGTTTTAATTAAATTTGAACTTGGGTTTGATTTTTTTTTCTTATTTTTAGGCTCTCAGTCATTTTACCAGGAACACAATGATGATATTTTGTGCCTCACTGTGAATCAGCACCCCAAGTTTACCAACATAGTGGCAACTGGCCAAGTAGGTATGTTTGTATTTTTGTAAAAAGAATTAACATAACAGCATGCAACCAGGGCCTTGTAAATCCATGATAAATCACAAAAATATTTGATTATGCTATCTCTGTTTGCATGAGTGTTACTCAGTTACCTGCCCTCTTTATATGTTCTTTCAAGTGTAACTGAATAAAGTTGACAAAAATATTGAGGCATGAAAGATTAAAATTACCTTCTGTTTGGAGTATTATCAAAATGATTTTTTCAGAAATCTTAAGCCCCATTAAATTAGTCTGGTTGTATTGAACTATCAGCTTGCTTTAGACCTTCCAAAGAAGCTGAATAGAGCTAACCTTCATTTCTTAAAATACATGTCAATCTTATGTAGGCTTTACCTCATCAGGTAGATTTATAATACCTACTTGGTGGTTGGATATGATATAGTCTTAATATTCCAGGCAGTACAAAAACCCTAATGGTGTTCACTACAGATAAATTGAAATTTAGAGGAAAAACATATATATATTTCATAGTGACATTAAGAACTATGAACTAACCAAGTTTAAAAAAGAAAAAAAAATTGCCATTTTGCATTAGCATAACTGGTAGAAATTTCTGTTTCTAGATTTTGTAGAATAGTGATTTTTGTAGCCCTACAATCTGGTTGTTGTTTTCATAACTTCCATTGGTTCTCAGCAGACTCAAACCCACATTATTTTCTGCAGTGCATAGAATACATAAAAAAAAAACCCCTTATTTGATTTCAACCAAAAATAGCTTTTTTTCCCCCCTTCATGTTTGTTTAAGAGGTTTCATATAAATCCAATCAGTTCTGCAGAGTTTATTACCAGCTTTCCTGTGTCTTTTGGATTTTTAGGTGCATGTCTCATTAAAATAGACTCACTGATAATATTAACTGCTTAGCTAAAATAGCTTCCTTTCTTGGTGAGTTTCTTGCCTCACATAATTTTAAACAATTTTTTAATGGAAATTATTTCAGTGGAAAAAATTATCAGCAGATTTTTGTCTATGGTTTGATTGCAAAGAACATTTGCAGGAATTACAAATCTTGTATTGTCTTTGAGAATTTGCTTTTTCATCATATTTCTTAATCTGGCCTTGTTTGCCTTTCTGTACAGGAGGGATGTGAAGATTTTTTTTTCTACAGTGTTCATCTTACCCAAAACAAAACACAAGACTTAATCCTTTTTTTATTTTGATAATCGTTTCTACATCAACTAGCAGTAGAACAATTTTAACTGCTTTGTTATGTGAATTAAAGCATACACATTAGGTACAGATGTCTCTTAAAAATTACATATACTTTTAAGAAGAGAATGAAAGATAAGCTGGAAGTGAAATATCTCAAAACTACTTATTTTTTTATTTTGAAGTGATGTTAAGGATTGTATATACTCTATAAAGAACATACTAATCTGCTGCTTCTTTTCCTACTAATATGGTTGGCACAAATAGTGTCACTGTCATGATTTAAATCTTCAAAATGTTTGTTGAATCTTCAGGCACTCAAATGCTACTTAGCATTTTTTCTCAATTTGTTAAAATACCAATGACATGAAAAAAATGTTTTTCATTTACTTTGTCTGAGAGAGACCTAACATACACCAAAATCTAGTTTTGTAGCTCAGAATGGAAATCAAAATATATTCATTCATTCATTCAATATATTCATTCTATAATTTATTTCTGATGTGACCTCCTTTTATCAGTAATTATTCATCTTTAACAGCAGTATTGGTTCTGCTGCAATGCAAAAAGATGAGATCAAGGTGTGTGTTAAGAAATTACACTGAATGTGGCATATATTTTTCTTTAGCACTTACCTTATTTCTGATCTAATTATTTTTCTGCTGCTTTTCCATTACAGGAGACTCAGCAGATATGTCAGGTAAGGGAAAAAAAATTTTAACATCTTCAGGTGTAGTTAGTCTATCTAGGAGCCATCTGCAGCTTTATAGAGCCATAAGTGATGTGAATTCATGTTTAGTTTATTAAACCCCATGTATCAGTCATATTTCTGTCAGCACTGAATAGAAGTCAAAACAGCTCAGCATACTGTAAATATAGAAAAATTAAAAATGTTAGAACACACTTAAAAACTGGTCTTGTTGAAGCATATTCCCTTCTTGCTGCTTAGTGATTAGTGACTTGTAATACATTCTCTTACTGTAGCATTCCTGTGTATGCTCCTGTGTATGCTTGCCAGTTTTGTAGATGTGTTGGGGCTGACAACATTTGGTTTAGACCTTCAGTTGAGTGTAATTTTAAATATTCATTTCTAAAGTAAATTCTATTGAGGAGGCCTAGGTGACTGAGTGAAAAAATGAATCACCTTTCACATTTATGTACAATTGTCATGCAGTTATTACCACTGATCCAAAATGCTTTTTATGATGTCAGTTTAATTTTTCCTCTATCATTTTGGGTCTTTGACATTTTGACAGTGTTGACTGAGATATTTTTTATTAATATGTTTCTTTTTTCAACTGTAATTTCAAAAACTCATCACCATCATGTGCGAGCGAGTTCATTGTTGAGCAGCCATAAATGTCTTGTGAAGAATCTTCAGAGATGCATAAATGTGTGGTCATGTGTACTAGAAAGTGTAATAATCTTCATGTGGATCTAAAGCTTGTTCTGTAAGAACAAATGTATATTGACATCTTTAATGTGAGTTGACTTCTATTAAATATGGCAAATGGTGCTTGCTCTAAGGATGGGAGGAAGAATATAGGTACCTTTTCCCACACTTTTAACCTGTATTTAAAAAAGCAGTGATGATATGGATATTTATATGAAAGAACATCTTTAGTCCTGCATATGGTCCCTGATTTACTTAAAATTTATTGAAGGCTATTTGGCAACCTTTGTACAATAAACTTTAGCTTTTCTAGTTCCAGTTTTCAGTTGTCTACAGTGATGCAGTGGTTCTTGAAGAAGTAATGTTTGTACTAGGCTGGAATGGCAAATAAAGGTTTCTAAAGGGTGTAGATTTGGTCCACCTTACTGAAGACTTTTCCTGTCCTGCCAGCCCATGGTGGCTTTATCTAACTGCTCCCAGGACGAGATGACACCTTAGAACATCTCTCGTGTGAAAGCGTGGAGTACACAGGGAAGATTCAGTGTCAGGACAGAGACTTTCAGAAGGACTCCATCATATACAAGGACCTAAGAGTCCACGTTCTCTGGCTTGCAGATCTTGCTCTGAAAAATTTTGTCAGTTCTTACTCAGGGAAACTAGGTGAGAGTTTCTGTCTGCCACCCAGAAAAAAACTTTTGGCCAAGGTTATAGGGCAGGTGCACAAGTCAAGGGTAATACAGAGTTTTACCAAGGAGAGTGTTGAAGAGTGAAAAACAGTTAAGAGCCATAATAAAGCTTTCCCTTCCCTCAGCTTCCCATAAGGACAGCAAGGAGTTTGTTGAAATTTTTGGGAAGTGCTATTTTCTGTCAACTTCGGCCCTTTCTTCTTTAATGGCATGTCCATACTACATTGTAGTACCTCTCAAAAGGTAATGATAACATCATGTTGCTGCCATGAGAGGAAATTCCAATGGGAAATAAAATAATTGAGGAAGCATGTTATAAGGCCTGTTTTAGAACAGCTGTGAAATTGTGCTCAAAATCTGAGTTTCTTGTGGCTGAAACTTGCCTAAGTCCTTGTGCCTACTGTTTCCCATCACATGCATGCCTTTGAGGCCCTAGATTTAGCTGATTAGAAACACAAAGCATAAATCCAAAAGAGAATTTAGGTTATGTGGATCTGGGTCTATGACAAGAACCAGTAACCTTCAGACTCTGCAGCTAAACGTATTAGAGATGAGGAGTGAAGCAGTTTGAAAATCTTACTCTTCTGAACAGATGCTGCTCAGAGATTCAGAGATGGTAAAATATATTTGGATTGCAAGATCTTTTGAGAAGGCATTGCATCTGGGAAAAAACCAGCTGCCATCACGGTAGAGATAATCACATACATTAGTAGCATGGAAAGACAGTTTTTACTGCAGAGAGCTTGCAGTCTAAACAATGCAGAGTGAATATTGCAGTTCTACATTGGTAAGCAAGCTGACAGTTTGGCTGATGCTCTCCTAAGATGGCAAGCATTTCAGACAGGTGGCCTTTTTGTAGAAAGGGGATTTTGGCCCTGCACTGTAAACTGATTTCTCTGCAGCTACCAATTGTTCAAAAGCCCCATGTAGAAGCTACACTTTTGATGAGTGGCTTTATTAATGAGGGTTTTTGAGTTAGCATGCTGCTCTACATTTTACTAGAAGAAAAAATGAGAAGACAGCTTGCTTTTAGAACTTGTGTTGTGCTTCACAATTCCCATAACAAGTTAAGCAACAAGTTAACATCTCTGGTAATGTAATGAGGCCAGCTTGTTCATGCTACCTAATGACTCTGTTTGTCATAAATTGGTTTCCAAAGGGAGGCCAAAATTTCCTTTCTTTTCTTTCCTTTTTCCCCCCATCTGATCACAGCAATTTTTGGGAAGTGCGTATTAAAAAGTATTGACCGCTTCAAGAAGGAAACTATCACACATTTTCAAAATGAATATTAACGGAATGCTTTTATATTTGTGTAGCTACAGCTCCTTCTATTCATGTGTGGGACGCAATGAACAAGCAGACGCTGTCGGTACTGCGGTGCTACCATTCCAAGGGTGTTTGCTCAGTCAGTTTCAGTGCCACTGGCAAGCTGCTGCTGTCCGTAGGGCTGGATCCCGAACATACCATTACCATTTGGAAGTGGCAGGAAGGTAGGAAAGAGACTGGTTTTGTAGAAGGTGTTTACATTGTTAGAGATATGTTGGCTTGAGTCAAGAGCAATTGTAACATTAAAGCATCAGCTGATTAAAAATTATTACAATAAATGTGCTCTATGCTCTGTACAACAAAATCTAAAATAGGTATGTTTATCCATTCTAGTGACTGCTAAATAAATCTCTGTTGAAACTATTGTGTAAAGAGCAAGATAGTTCACTGATTTCCAGAAAGAATAATGTAAGGTTTTGGGTTTTTTCAAACTGTCATCGTTATTATTATTTTATTCTACTCTTAAGACTGATTACCAACTAGGTTTGTCATACTCCTAAAATTATTCCAAAAAGCTGCAAAGTGCAGAAATGGGGTGCCAGGACAACTGTATGTATATAGTTGGTGCCTTAAGCTACGCTACATGTTTTCAGATCAGCTTTGATCTGTATTCCTGATTTAGGCTAAAGACATCTGAGTTTTTGTCCTTGTCTCCTTTGTGACTGGCAAAGCCATGCCCAGATTATGGATGTGATTCTCTAGTCTTAGAGGTTTGCTTCCTCTCTCTTTGGGTATTGCTGTTGACAAACTAATAACTCTCAGAATTCTAAAAATCAGCTATTAAGTTAATAAAAAGTGATCTTTCGCAGCTTGTCTGATAGATCCTGTGGGGACTGATGCAATGTCAGATGTGTATTTATGCAATCTTAGGTAAGATGAAGGGTGTGTGGTCAGAATATATTCTGTATTCATCTTAAGGGTTGATACATACTCAGAATGGCAGCTAAGGAGCCTAAATGAGGAATCTTCATATGGATCAAAATTATTTTAATATTTTTAAACCAGAAATGTGTATTTTTCTCAGCAAATTCAAAATGTCATTTTATTTCTGCCAGGTGCCAAAATTGCCAGCCGAGCTGGTCATAACCAGCGTATATTTGTAGCAGAATTCAGGCCAGATTCAGACACACAATTTGTTTCTGTGGGAGTAAAACATGTGAGGTTCTGGACACTGGCTGGAAGAGCTCTCCTCAGTAAAAAAGGGCTGCTGAGCTCCATAGAAGATGCCCGCATGCAGACGATGCTTTCTGTAGCTTTTGGAGCGGTATGTACTTCAACAAACCACCTGAAAATGCATAAAAACAACCTTTTTTTTACCCTTCTGCCTTTATTCAGTTCAGTGAGACTTTTATAACCTGCTGATGAGTATATCAGTTGTTTTATTAAACTCAGTTTAGTGTTCCTAATACTCACCTGCTAGTTAGAGCTAGTACCAGCTTTCTTTAGAACAGAAAGGACAAAACTATGTGTTTATGTTTTCTGGACAAAAAAATATGGATGTTTTGAACTGACAACATACTGCTTGTTATTTAATCCAGGTAAAACAAAACTGAGTCCAGACTGCAGGAACCAAAGAGTAGAAATGAGTCTGATTTATGCCCACCTGGGGGCATAAAGATTGTTTTGTAATCTGTACGTGCTACTGCTCATGAGTGATCAGAGAACAGTGTTGTTCTGGAGAATTCATTAATGTTGGACATCCTTAGACAACTGCATTAGGGGTTTGTTTTGCTTTGGGGGTTTTTGGACATGTGCAGGCCATCTTGCTAAGTTCCACAGAGCTGCTGGGTCTGGAGTTGCTCTGCTTGGGCAGTACTCATATTTTCAGCTGGACAGAAAGCCACAGATACCTTTTGTGAAGTGGTCCTTTGCTTTGATTGCCTGCATTTCTGTTCTGTTTGCCCACCTTCCTGTTTGATTCAGGCTGAATTTACAGCGATTTTGATTTTTGAAACTAAGTGGGCTATGGGTTCCTTTTTTTGCTACACTATCTCTTTTACACAGTGGTGTCTGCCTGATTTAGATGAAGGTCTTACAGGAAACCAAGACATTTTCCAAATGATAACTGTTATTGATGTGCAGCCCAGGCATTTGTCAAGGATTTGGGAAACCTCTGTAAACTTTCTTACAAAGAGACAAGTTCTTAGTGTGAGAATCAGGCTGTATGCTGCATGGCCTGAAGTTTGCTATGAGGTTTGAGGATGCAGAGCTTTCAGGGGTTTTGTGAAAAACTGTGCAAACTAAATAAAACCAAACCTGGTGTGTTCTCCACACTTCTGTAGGCAGCAGTTCTGGGAGTGCTCTGCTTGATTTTGTCTCAGAAGGAGCTGGTTCAACTCTCCCTAAACAGAGGTTGGAAACAGCCCAACAGTTGTGCTGGGAGTATGATCTGAGGTTCTGCTCTCAACTTCATTTCCAGTCCTCTTTTACTTTATTAGAGCCCCACACATGCACCCTTAAAAAGAAAGGATGTAGAGCATCAACCACTTCAATCAAAGAAAGTGTTTGTGCCACATGTGTACTGATACTCTTGAAACATGAGAGCACTACACGTGATTCTGAGTTTGAGGATTCATCTAAGTTACTAAACCAGTTTTGCTCAATAACTAGTTCCTGTTGGAATCTTAATAAAAAGCCCTTTAATTTCAGAGGTAATTAAATTTATTTTTATTACCTTTCAAGAGCAGGAAGCAGAAGTAGAGAACAGGCAGCTTTTCATTCTAAGTTACGTCAACCTGTTTTCTTCCTGAACTAAAGGTTACTGTAATCATGTAAATATCTTTGCCTAACCACAAAAATTACTGCAAGCATAATATATACAGCAAGAGGGTGCAAATTGCCTAATTGTGTAGAATGTCAGTACTTTTTTGCCACATGTTGCACACCTGATAGGCTGAAAGCATAGATAACCATATGACTGAAGCTTAAGTCATATTATTTCTTGCAAAAAGAAATTTTCTTCAAGCTACAAGAAAACATCTCTCAGACTTCAAGAAGGAATATAATAGCTCATTATTTTGTCCCTAGAGGTCCTTATTGTCTCTTCCACAGTTTCCTCTTCTGTAACAGCAAATAAAAGCGATTTCACCTCTAAATGCAAATGGTGTTTGTTTCTGAATGTTTATCTTTCTACCTTACTCAGAATCAGATGATGAGTATATTTTTCCCCTTTTCAGAATAACTTGACATTTACAGGTACTATCAGTGGAGATGTTTGTGTTTGGAAAGATCATGTGTTGATACGAATTGTGGCCAAAGCTCACAACGGACCTGTTTTCACAATGTATACCACACTAAGAGATGGTTTGATTGTTACAGGAGGCAAAGAAAGACCGTGAGTCATGTTTTTTCTTTTTTTTCTGCATGCACATGTACTCCTGAAAAATGGTTTGGATTCATCCCACTAACATTAGTTGAAACATTAAAGGTAGAAGAATAGTCCCTTTCAGATCCCTGACAGGTGTTAAGAGCAGCCACCACCTCCAAAGTGCAGGTAGCCCCATAGGAGCTTCAACCAGCTATTTTTCCCATTGATTATAAGAGAAAGCATTTAGTCTGAAATTTAGAATCATTGAATGCTTAGGGTTGGAAGGGGCCTTATAGATTTTCTAGCTCCAATACCCATTTGGCTTTAAACACTAAAAGGCTACCGAATTCTTGTGCGTTACTTCTTTCACTGAAGATGTGCTAAAGTTGTTAACCCAAGTAATTTGTACAGTTGTGATTGAATACATGAATGATAAATTTTATAGCAGTATGATATACAACTTCTTTCAAAGGAAAGAACTTTGTTATGAGTCAAGCTGTCTTCTCTCAAATCTAAGGTTCAGCAAGGTTCCTTGTTTCTGGGGTTTGAAGCAAAATATCTCCTCCAGCATTTTGATAATTTTGGTGCCTTCCTCATGATAAGAAAATGCTTCAGATGCAATACAGTCCATCTGTTGACATCATAGTGCCCCATTTTGCAGGAAACAAGCCCTTTATCTTTTCAGACCCAGCTGAAAACTAACTTCTGTGTTTAAAATATTTCCTTCTGCTATTTCTAAATGTTGTTTTTATTTTATTTGGAGGATGTTCTCTGTACCACTTAGCTTCAGAGGCACTTAATAATTAGTATTTTACCTGAAACAAATAGTAATTAATAACAGTAAGAACCCAGAATTTGTCTCCTGTGGGAAAATGAAGTATTGAGTATGTAAAGAAAATTTTCATTTAGGAAGACTGCATGTTTTTTCTGCCTTAGTTGCAGTTCACCAGCCTGTTTTGGTAAAATCTTCTTGTTGAGTATGATGATCAATCATATGTCAAAACAGTGCTAGTGGGAAACAAAGAATATACTATTGCAAGGAGTATCAATTCATTACAGTTCTTTTAATACTACTACTACTACTACTATTACTACAAATCAGTAATTGTGATTAAACATTCTGAAGTTAGTTTTAAAGATAATTTAGTAATCAAAGCTGTAAAAAATCAGCTCGATATTATGGAATATTGTATTTTTGTTTCTGCTAGGGGAGATTGAAGCCAGATAAGACATGTCACAACTCAACTAGAAATGCCAGATTTACCACTGTTTCAACAGACATTATCTTCTCTTTAGAATTTTTTTTTTTTTTTTATTTTGATGTGTTCTGTACTGAAATATCAGGCTTTTTTGCAAGTGGGAAGGAAATACTTAGTGTTTTCGTAATTAATACCTATTAGTTGTGTGATTTTTCTGCTGTATCTATGTAATTGATTTTACAGCAGTGAAAATAGTGACATTTCACAAAGGTGAAATTCTTCTGACATTTATTTCACAAAGTAAAATATATACCTTTTCTGTTTCTCTTAGCTATAATTTGAAAATCTCTGCCTGATTATTAAGATTGTGGTTTGCACGCTTAACTGTTCTTTTGACTACACAAATTCCCTCAGACCTACTCATTCAGACTAAGCTCAG